TGAAAGGCAGCTCAGCCAAAGGACTTCACTCACTTTTCAGGAAAGAGCAGGATGCCCCATCAGCAGACTGCTGGGCTTCGGAGCGGAGCGCAGAAAGGTTGAAAAGACTTTCTTTGCTTTTTAAAAACAAATCTACTGTGTCTAGCTGACGATTTTCCAAGCCAGCCTAGGCAGACAGACAGCACCATTGTTACACACGTATTTTTAAAACATAGGGTACATTTATCAGCAGTATTTTTCACATTCTGTGCCAAAGTCTGCATGCAGAAAAATAAGAAGAAATTTAAACTACACATGCAATAACTGTAGCCTGAAATAACAAGGTGGCATGGCGAGTGCCTGCCATGCCCTTTTGATTGGTTTTTCAGGAACTCTGACCCACTATGTTTAGAGATAAAATGTTAATTAAGCAATTTATCAAAGTTTAATTTGGGATATAAAGAAGTACTATGAGAATCAGGTCTTTAAATAAGCTTACAGCAACTGAATGTTGCTGCCAACCTCCCCCCCTTCCTGGCTCAGTTCCCTGTCTATCACACCTTCAAACAGAACCAAAGAACCCCAGCACATCTTCACCTGAGCTCCCTGCCTGCAAACACAGCTGAACAGAGCTGGCAGAGCACTGTCACAGTGTGCACAGACTGCTGCATCCCAGACCTCTGGATCAATTGTTTTTTTAAGCAGGGATCACTGACACTTATAAAGGTAGAATTAGAGCAGGTAGAATTAGAGCACTGGAAAACTGCAGACATGAGGAGAGCTGGTGTGTGGTCCAGAGTTCAATTAGGAGAGGTTCTGAACGCTCCTTAATCATAGTTGTTTTTTTCAGTCTAGAAATAACACTAAAGCTGCCACATTTCACTGACTACTTTAAAGCAGTGGTTTTGCTATCTGCAGGACACGAATCAGCCCTGTTTACCTCTAGTGCATGCACTGGAATAGAACACCGCCCCCATGCATTGAGGTGACACACAGCATCCACGACTCCAGCACTGCCATAGATCATCAGTCTGTTCAAAAACTCCTCTCGAGTTAAACCAAACAGAATTAAGGAGAGGCCACGCTCTGAATAAAAGAATCAAATCATAATTAAAAACATATAAACGAGTTGCTACGTAACAAGATTTGTATCCACTGCCTGTGTACCAAATATCAACATAAAGCTGATATTAAACATAAAGCTGTAGGCTCCACTTGTGTGGCAGCTCAGCAAGAACACATTCAAAGTCAGCCAGCAGGGAAGGAGAAAGCTACAGACAAAACAAGGCTCTTCTGGGAAGGCTGCACCAGAACAATCACACAAATCACACAAAGTCACCTGTCAGCAGCAGACATAATGGCACATCCTCATTGCAATCCACATAAACACTATTTTTGCTGAACTGGTGGTGTGTTACATCTTGGGACTCGAAATCCCAGAGGGCAAGCGTCAGTGCTTTGTCATCCGCCAGGATCACAAACAGTGCCTTGGCTCCAGTCACACATTTACACTCCAGTTTCACCACTCGGTGTGATAACTGTACAGGCAGGATTTGTTTCCACCGCCGCCCCGCATCGCTGAGCTTCGTGCCAGCACTCTGCGACGGGTTGGGAAGGACACGTGGAAAAGCCTTTGGAGCAACGGCCAGCGCCTCCTCGTGGGTCTCGTAGATTAAGGGATCGTGATCTTCAAGATGGGTAAAATACTGATACCAAGGTAAGTTCATATCACACAGCAGATGTGGGGAACGTGATCCTCTTTTCCTGATTGTGCTGCGCAGGGAGGACAAGTGTGCCTTCCATGACCTGGGATGAAGAAAGCAGCCGCCAATAATACAGCGTATTAGGGCAGGTACCATGCAGACCAATCAACTTTTAACATTTCCTCAGTCAAACAGAAAGCATTTTGGTGTACAGATCAGAACCACCATTCTGCATTTGAGCCGTACCAGGTCCTATTCGTTTCTGTTTAAATACTGCTTGCACCACAGCTGCACTGGTTGGCAACAGCCACGAAGCTGAGAATTTTTACTGGAAAATTGTCCTTCATATCCCAGTACATACCCTCATTAATTAAAAATATATATATCAGTAGAAGGAAATGAATTCATAGAATCATAATATAATCTTACATACATCAAGACATAATTAACATAGTTCGTTAGTGTTAATTATTCCACTACTGAGGGTCACAAGAGAGTCACATTTTTTATCTGAACACAAAATATTCTGAAGTCCTCACATACTCACTTGTATTAAGCAGAAAACAAACAGAAAGGTACTCAGAACGCAGACAGCTGTCAGCGCTGGTTCAAACCTAACACAGCTCTACCAGCAGGAACTGCTGTTGGAAGCAGCTCAGTCATACACATGAAGTATCCTGGGGTGTTTCCTAACTGCAGCCTAACAGCCATGATAGACCGAAAGCACAGTGAGCTTTCACAAAGCAGATCTGCCACAACTGCCGGTGAAAAAAGCCAGCAGTTCTCTGATCAGTGCTCCATAGGAGGCAAAACGCAGACATTTTAGGATTATTTTCATTACCTGTCTGTGCGGAAAGGCGAGGACAGCAGCTCCATACTGTAGTCAGAACTAGCAAGGTCATCCTCATCAACTCCCTCAGGTGGCTTCAGTGGAAGGCTTTCAGGATCTCTTTTACAAATCAAATGCCCAGGGAACTGTCTGAAAGGAATTGCATATTATATTTTACCTCCCAGATGGATGATTTAAACTTCTAACATTAGTCGCACTTAAAACCTTTGGTAATTCTGCTGCAAACATACCTGAAGTACATGTTTAGATCCACAGAACAGGCACTGTTGGAAGCACTGATGACCACAGCAACGCTGAGATCATACGACACTTTGACTGCAGCGAGCGGTGATGTGACGGCGGAACTCCTGTCCCCTTCCTGCACCCCACCCAGGCAGAGCAACACGTCAATATGTGCCAGATTCGCACCATCAAAAGAATCAAATACGTCTTTAAAAGGTGTCAAAGAAAACGCCAGGCTTCAGGTTGCCCAACGAACAGGAAATGAGACAGAAGAGGAAGATGGTGAATTTGTGTTACTTTCGGCCCATGCTAACCTTTGCACAGCAAAGCATTTAGAACTGTTTGTTTCACATAGAGCCTTCTAAGCCTAGCTAGGATAGGAAGTGAACAGTGCTACAGGTGCTGTACAAACATAACTTGTGCCATCTCAAAAGAGTTAATTCATACTTAAAAGTCTTATTCTGACAAAAGAGAAAACCTTGTTCTACCAAACCATTTACACTGAGACCTCGTGGCTACTCCAAAGGATACAGATCCAGCCAGAACTATCCAAGAAAAACAGAATCCCCCTGCAGAAGTTTATATCTGTTATTCTTTCCAAAACTGGTGGAGGTAAATCAAGGGTAAAGCAGTCACACATCTCCAATGATGAACGCTCTCCAGGAAAAGTAATGTGCATAACAATGAAGCTGTTCAGCAGAAGTATGCATCTGTTGTCTTTAAAAGACAGTATCCTCAAAGACAAGATTGAAGAAAGACCTGTAAATTTAAAGATATCTTGTGATTACACCAATCCGGTACTTCCATTTGTAAAGGTATCTCAAGGAAATCACAGCTCAGATGCACTGTCTGAGCCGCTCCATTAACTGAAGCGCTTAATGAGAACGTGTACAACACCAAGCCGTAGGCCTGCAGGTTAAGCACTAATTAGTTTCTGCAGGATTAGTGCAGAGCCCTGCCCGTATGTTTTCTTCCTGTCTGCTCTAATGCCAAATGGGAAATTAGCGATGGCAGTATTGCTATTATTTCTGACTGTGTCATACAGCCACCTCCCCTGAACAGGGAAATGCCTCCAGCAGTTTGGTATCTGAATACAGAAACACCCCATCGCGTTTCAGGCCCATCAGTACTGCTGCCGATCACTTTAACCAGGCGAAGCCATTTACTTTTCACCAGAGCTGCCTAGAGCTGCTTTTGCACACGAAGCATTATAAATCCCGCAAGGACTGGCTATGGACACACACTGAAAGGCACTCACTGATGCTGTTAGTCTCGAGAAGCTTCTTCAGAGCGCCTTCCTCACAGCTGTGCAGGGGATCCGGGCTGCATTTCCCCTCTTCTCTGGTGAATTCATAGACAAACAGGTCGTGACTTTCACTCACAGCCAGTATTTTCGTCTTGTCTGCCTGCGGATCGTACTCCGCCGTACTCTCCCACACGAAGCTGAAGATGTAACCATCAGCACGTTTATCCGGCACCGCAGCATCACGGCACCGCAGCATCACGGCACCGCAGCCCGGCGCTCCCCTCGCGCTCCCGCCACTTACTCAGCCCACGCTCCCGGCAGCACGCTGCTCCGCGCCCGGCCGCCTCCTCCCGGCCCCAGGGACTCCAGGTAGATCCCGTCACGGAGCGACAGGCTGCCCAGCGCGTCCTGCCCCGCGCTTAGCCGGGCCCGTACCGCGCCCTGCACGGCATCCCGCTCCCGACCCGGGCGGGCCGCCAGCAGCACGCCCAGTTCCCGCCTCGCTCCCGCCATCCCCCTCAGCGGCGGCGACCCGCGCCCCCGGCCGCCATCTTGGAGGGGCCGTCCTCGCTTCCGGTCTGCTGACGGCGCCGCGCTGGGACTACAACTCCCGGCATGCACCGCTGCACGGCGCCGCGCCTCCAGCCGCACTCTTCCTGGGAGCGCGCCACGCTAAGAGGGGAGAAACCGAGAGCGTTGGTCGCCTCTTGGGTCGCGTTAGTGCGGGGCGGTCCGAAAGGGCCGGAACTTTTTGCTGTGAACCGAGCCCCGTCCCCGCGCCGTTACTTGGGCAAAGGCCTTTCTCAGCCTGCGAACGACGCAGCTCAGCAGTTTGTACGGTTAACGTCAGGGCTCGCCGCTCTGCAGCTGTGCAACTGCGGGAGGACGAGCACAGCCCGGCAAGCGGCGCTTCCCCACGCCCCGCCCGCAGCGAGCGGCAGCCGCGCCCCGCAGCGCCCCTCCTGGCGCACCTCCCTCCGCCGGACGGTGGCCGCGCGGGGCCGTTTCGCGCTCTCCCATGGCGGAGCGGGAGGATGTCGCTGGTGCTGGGGCTGCTGTCGCACACGCTGAGCAGAGTGCTGCGGTACTCCGGGCTGCGTAGGGGCTGCCATGCCCCGCCCAGCAGGGCCATGGAGCAGGACAAGGCGCTCGAGGTTTACGGTGACTGGCGGAGCTGCTCGGGGCCGCGCGGGGCGGGACGCGGGCGGGCCTGGAAGCGGCGGCGGAACGGGAGCCGCGCGGTGGCCGTAGGTTGTGCTTAAGGTGCTCTCGAAGCGTCATCCGTGGAGCCCGGGCTGAGGAGGGGAGGGCGGAGGTGGAGAGGAGGGTCGACCCGCCTCGTCGCAAAGTTAGACGTGGGAAAACGCGAAGGGCGAGCAGCGTTGTGTGAAATGCCGCACCGGTGCTTTGTGCTGGGATAGGCTGATTTTAAACCGCTTGCAGTTCTGAAGGTGTTCTATGTCCATTAGTAGGTATTGATTAGAATGGGATGGTGAAAGCAATAGCAAATACAGCAGGTGGTTTGATCTGCCCAGCTCCCAGGGAACTGGTAATGCACTGCTGGTATTTACAGCTGTGCCTCGGAACAGGATCGAAGCGAGCGCTGCCGGGAAGATGGCTTTTAATTAGAAGCATTGAGTTTAGGAAAGTGATTTTGTTGTCGCTGGCTCATCTTCTGCTTTAGATATCATCCGAACCATCCGGGACCCGGAGAAACCAAACACTTTAGAAGAACTGGAAGTGGTGACGGAAAGCTGCGTCAAAGTGAATGAGATTGGCGAGGAAGAGTATCTGGTTGTCATCAGGTTCACGCCAACAGTACCTCACTGCTCTTTGGCTACTCTCATTGGTAACATTTCTGTTTCATTACATCTTCAGCAATGAGTGCGAAGTTAATTTTAGATTGTCTGAATAATATTCTTATTAGTTAAAGTTCAGTATCGTTTTACCAGCAGTTTAGCTGTGAATTTCATCTTGAGAGCCCTTATGGCCATACAAACAAGGAACAGAAGGAATGGGGAGCTGTTGAAGGTCGTATTATGGAATCACAGAATGGTCTGGGTTGCAAAGGAGCACAGTGCTCATCCAGCTCCAACCCCCTGCTGTGTGCAGGTCGCCAACCAGCAGCCCAGGCTGCCCAGAGCCACATCCAGCCTGGCCCTGAATGCCTGCAGGGATGGGGCAAGCAGGTCGTCTGTTTTTCTCACGTTAGGAAAATTTCAGAACAAAGCAGCTCTCAAAAATCTATTCAGAAGCAGCGTGGAACACAGTGTGTGACCTGTGAAGCAGGTTCCTCATTCTGTCGCAGGAAAAGATTATGGTGATTATTTTAAATAATTGGGTAGCATGTGTAAGAATAGAGGCAGTAAACAGTTGTTTTCTTGGTTTTGTTCTTTTTTTTCCACAAACGTCCTCATCTGCAGAGTTCTCTGAAGTGCGTTGGGGTGCATTTGCTGTTAGCACTGGCTCACCTGAGCACAAACCAGGGCTGCAGTGTGGCTGTGGCTGTCCATGTGCAGCTCAGTGTGGAGCCAGGTTGTGGGGAGACGTGCAGCAGTAGGGCTGTCCTCTAGCTGGGGTGTTGCTCTCCAAGACAAACTGCAGTTCTCTGCTCAGTCACTTTGGAGACTTTCTCAGCAGTACTACTTGCTATATACAAATCTATACTTGCATATTTTTGAAGTAAAATTCGAATGCTGATTGTTAATGCACAGCTTTTCTCTAATTGCAGCAGCTTGTTTTTTGGTAGATTTATGTGGCCCCAAGGATGACGTTTTTTGAGTGCTATTTTCAATTATTTTCCAGTTCTGCATGTTAGACATCTAAAATAGTGAAGTTATGAGCTTGAGTTCCAAATTGTTGCAGGCAGGCCTTGCAACTATTCTTCCAACATTTTGTTTTGGGTTTTTAACAAAAACAAGCTAAGCATTCTTCTCAGCATAGAGACAGCCACAACAATAGCCAGAAAGCTCTATCAAAAGGGCAGAAGGCTGGAAATGGTGGAATTTGCATGCATTCAGTATTTCTCAGGGGTGCTGGGGACCAAAACCTTCTAAGTTTGTAAGGCAGGTATGAGCTCAACTGAGAGACTGCCTGGAAAGGGTCAGCAATGTGATTTGGTCTCCTCTGTGGCTTTTGCTGCTCAGAATGCAGAAGGAAGAGGTTGCCAAGTATAGTGGTGGGTTTGATTGTTAAATATGTGTTCTCTGAAAATGCACCTCAAAACCTTGGATTTGACAGGGATGTCTCTTAATCTGCTTTGTTTACCAGGCCTTTGTTTAAGAATAAAGCTTCAGAGATGCTTGCCTTTCAGACATAAGGTAAGATATCAGTTCTGAAACCTGCTCCAAGCTACAGGAATAAGTACTTCCAATGCTAAGTGTTCTTTAAGAAAGGATATGCTGCAGGATTGAGCAACTTGCAAAGCGTGATAAAGGATGAGCCTTTTAAACAGCCTGTTGTTTATGGAGGAAGTGAACACTGCAGAGCAGGAGTACTGGAAGGGACCTCTGAATAAATGTGGTGATTCCTTTCCTTTACAAAACAGTTTGTAGCTTGTTACACAGTGTTGCTTTTTGAAATCTTTTGTTTTTATAGTTGCTAGCTTCTTCTTTCCAGTTACGGCAGTGTGAAGCAAGGCTTGTATTTCTAGGTAATTAGGGTAGATGGTGATCTGTTACGCTGGACACATGATAACAAGTGGGTTTTGCTTCAGTGAGATAAAATGAGATGCACTGGACTTGTGTACTTTTCCTTTGCTACAGCAGTTCCATGACGTTTCCTTGTTGTTCTGTTTGTTGGACATTGTTGGTTTGTTTGTTTGGTGCTTTTTTTTTTTTGCCAGGCCTGTTCAGTTAAATGCATGAAGTCAATTTGGGCCTGTTTAGCATTTAGTCTTACAGTCTCTCCCAGGCAGAAACCAGATAATGTATTATGCCACCATTTCAGATAGAACATGTGTTTCTTGTCATTGAGTAAGACTTAAAAGGAATATATTTTTACAAATCTGTTCCTAAGGATGTCTTTCCAAGAGTTCTTAGCTTGTGAAAGTGACACTTGCAATTCTGGTGGCTTTCAAACAAATAGTCCTTGAGCTGTGACCAGCAGAGAACTTATTAGGAAGGAAATGCCAATTCTGCACTCTGTTTCCAAGCAGCCCAGCTGCAATGGATTTTTCACATGAGCCATTGATATTAGTGAGACATGAATGCTGCCACAGTTTTGAAGGAGTACTGAGGCCTCCTTGAATGGAGATAGATCTATTGCAACACAGTCACAAGGCTCAGATCAGTTGCTGTCATTGGTTCCCTTCCATTGTATAGGAACATTCTGAAAGGTACAGATTCCATGCATTGTATGTGTTTGGTAGTTTTCTGTTTTGGTACTGAATCTATTTTACAGTTGATGAATGCATCTAACACTGATCTCTCCTCTAGCTGGAAATCTACATATCTGAAGGTACACATTCCACTGAAGAAGACAGTAAGTAGAGCTTTAGACTCTGTGTTCTTTGGGAAGTTGCTCTTGTGCTGCTCAGTTATTAGCATGAAGAACTTCCTGCCTGGTTGATGATCTTAACACTGTGAAGTTTATCTGTATTTTTAAAATAAAATCTGTAGGACACTGAATTCTTCCAGAGCTGCATTTAATCACCATCTCAAACAGCTGCTGAAGCCTCTGTTGAGGCGACGCCTCGGCCCCTGTTCATAACCAGCAGAAATCTTTATGTGGGGGAAAACCAGTTCTTGCCATTAAATGACAAGACATTGAACCTGGAGAACACCGACTACTAATTTGTCACAGACTTCACACTTCATTTGAAGACACTTGATTAGCATACCTTGTACCTTGTATTCTTTTCCTAAACAAGAAAGCAGAAAACTTTTGGTTCTGATGGATGTTTGTTTGTGACTGAGTGCTCCCTGGCTCTTTTTCACAATTTCCTGTTAACCTCTCCTCTCAACTCCTTGGCTTTGTGCTCGGCTATACAACCTAAATGTCTGCCAGCACAGCAGTTCACCATTTCAGTTTGGGCTATTGTGCAAACTTCAGTCCTCTGCCTGAATAGAGATTTGCAGTGAGGTGGGCAGAACGCACTGTTTCTGTAACGCAGCATTTTCTCCCTCTTTGAGTTGGCCCTTCTGGGGGCTTGGAGAAACCCTGCCTTGCACTTGTGCTCACGGTGCTGCATGCATAAAGTACCACTCAGAACTGCTTCTGACTTCACTTCTCCTATGTTTTGCAGTCAATAAGCAAATCAACGACAAAGAGAGAGTCGCAGCTGCGATGGAGAATCCAAACCTGCGTGAGATCGTGGAGCAGTGCGTGACAGAGCCTGACTAGGAGCTGCTGCACACACAGCATTTTGATACGTTTCCTAAAGTTATCTTTGTTCAAAAAAGAGGAATCAAAGCCTTGAGTTTAATACTTGAGTTCTTTTTATCTTCTGTATGTTTTTTAAAAAAATTGTTTATAAGATAGATATAAATTATGAAAAATCAGTCTCTAAAATAAAACGAAGTATATAGTGTTAAGAGTTTGTAATATCTGGTGTCCAGAGAAGTATTTTATCTCATTAAAAAATGAAACAGCACCGTATGTATTGCCTTCTGATAGACATTGTCACACAAATGCAGTTTTGCAGGTTAAATTTCTATTGTTTCAATCACCACACTGTAAAAATAAAAGAGATTCTTATACTGAAATGCTGCTTTGAGATCAGCACCTTTTTTTTTTTTTTTCTTTAGCTTAGGTTTGGATTTCTGCTAGAGAAGTTAACGTTTATTCAACTTGTTTGTTTCCAGTGAACACATTAAAATTGAAATGAATTCAGTGAACTGGGAACCAAGCGATTGGACTGGAGCCTTTACCGAGACCCCATTTTTGCTAAATGTCTGTATTGTTTAGAAGTACATGTTTCTGATTCTGGTTTCCAATTACCTTGAGGGTAAGTTTTCCTGTGGCAACGTGTTGCCAGTTTGATCCTGCTGTTTGTTGCAGCTTACCTGCAGCGTGGGACAGGAGAGAAGCCTGCAGCCTGTGGTCACTGCTGTTCTGTTTCTTTTTGCGGCTCCCTTTCTAATCTGATCTGCAGCATCCATCATGTTGTCAGCTGTCATGTGTTTTCTCTCTGAAGTCCCCCGGGGTTCATTTCCTGCTGCAGCTGTGGGTTTGACCATGCACTTACTTTCCCTGAAGAATGAGGCGGATGTTTCTCTCGCTGTCCTCGGGGAGAAGTGATGTTCAGGATCCACAGCACAGCCACAGGAGGGCCCCAGTGCTGAGCCTGTGTGCAGCTGTGTGCTGCTGGCTGGCAAACCATTCCTAGATCCTGAGGTGTTATCTGGGCAGTGCAAAGCAGCTTGTGCAACTGGTGTTCCCCCAAGTAAAGTAAAAAACGTGAGTTGGAGCCTTTCCCAAGTGGAGCTGTGATGACTGTAGCAGGCTTGTATTTGGTTAAACAGCGAGAAATCCTCAGAGTTCTGTGCAACATCTGTTGAGATTTCTGGGATGTGTAACCATTTTAATAATGAGCTTCATAAAGCTCTCCTGAAGGCATGAATGACTGAATGGGTTCCATCTAGGCTGCGTGTTATAAACGGTGGAGAAAATGTTCTCCTTGTAGAACGATGCTCTGATGGATGTCACAGCTGTAATCTCCCTGCTTCAGTGCCAAAGTCCCACTTTGGTCAAAATCAACAATCTGTGTATTTACATTTCAGCTGGAATAGTCTACCACAATATATCCTAAAAGAGGCATTTAGAAAGGTTTTGTATTGTTTTTTTTTCCCAGCAGGCTCTTGAAATGGCAACAGCTCCTGCCAGCTAAGATGAAGAGCAGAGGGAGATCTTTTCCTGTGAAAGAATTACATTGGTAGCGTGTGCTGTGATTCTCTTGGAAGGTCTGAGGCTTCCTCTGATGCACTAACATGGTGAGATGATGAAATGCTGTGTCGGCAAATGGCCACAAAGTAAAGGCACTTCATTCTCCAAGTACTTGGCGCCATGAGAATGTATTTCGTTTCCTCTGGAAGCATTTTTGGAAATTGTGTGTTTATTCACTGAGAATTTGTACATCGCAGTTTTAATCACTGCATCTCCAAAGGCAAACTTAGAATGGACAACAGCCCGCACTAAGCTCACTAAGAGACTGTTCTGAAAGCAGTGACATTCAGCAGTGAGCAGTGAGCATGCTTTGAGAATCTCCAGTAAGAGCTGACAAGAAGGAGAGCTTGTTTGTGAGTTATTTTAGCACGATGGTGCCTGAAGGCTCCTGCTAACTACTTTTTTACTCTACTTTTTTAGGCTCTTAAGAAAGAGACAGTAGGGGGTAATCTGCCATTTCAAACCTCCTAAATCATTCAGGATGGCCTAGGAAGGATGAGCAGCACCATGGCAGAGTAAACACAAAATGTGTTGCAAGCAGAAAATAAAATAGTTAACAGTCTTTAATTAATAAAGGATGCATTCTGCCAAGTTAATGGCCAGCAGCAGCAGCCTAGCACTTTCTCCAGGAATTTCAGAGCTGTTCAGCTGCTGGGCTGTGGTGGTTGTCGTGCTCCTTGCACCTTTGTTCTCGTTGAAGTCTCGGCAGGACTCGGTGTCACACATCATATCTGAAATGGCCTCAAGGCAATGTCTGCAAGTCTGTAGAGTCAGCTGAACAGAGTGAAACTTCACATAGAAATTGCCCTTTTAAAATTAAAGTTATGCTGACTTTATGAAATCAAAGGAATGTGTCGCTTTGCTCCTTTTCAAAAGGAGAAAAACAAAAGCAAAGGATTTTTTCCTAACTATTAATGGTTCCTGGAGAGAAGGAAACACATAGATAGAAGTGTTTTGGAAGTGCTTTCCCACGAGGGGGAGCGCTGAGAAAGGAACTCAGAGACGGGGAGCTTTGCAAAACCCTGTGCTGCTGCTGCCTCCGGTTTTTATTTTCCCTTCTTCCTCCTTCAGGTCAGTTCTCCCCTGCAGGGCAGCCCAGAGCCGGGGCTGGGAGCACTGCGGAGGGACAGCACAGCTCCAGGGCTGCTGTTTGCTGCTTGTCCTTGCTTTTGTGGGCTGCTTTACACGGCCCCAGATGTAAGTATGTGAACTTAAAGATAACTTTTTTATCAGAGTCCCTGCTTTAAAGCTGCTGTTAGAGACTGGAGAGCTGTCCCCTCAGCAACATCTCTTTATCTTCTCATTGCACATTTTACATTTGTTGCCTTGAAGCAGGAACTTTCTCAGGAAAGCTCTGTCCCTTGAGGACATTTACTTGTTGCCACCAAACATCCCAAAATAGCACACATGCCTTTTCTCTCTTTGTCTCCTGCCATACCAAAAGCCCAGCGTCTGATCTCTCCTGCTGATACTCAGGAGCTCCGTGGAAGGGGGCACTTTTCCTTCTGTGACATTCAAGGGAAGGAAAAAAAAAAAATACAACCACCTAAAACCTCTTACATGTTTGTGGTGTCTCAGGATACACCTGAGAACAGTGAATTTGAAGACAGATCTGGACTTGTGTGACACACATTCGGAGTGCTTCTGCCTGTGTTCAGCCCGCTGCAGGTGTACCAGGCCTCCCAGAAGTGAATTGTAAGTTTAGAAGTTCAGTTGCTTGTGATGCTGGGGGCTGTTTGGATGTGAGGGGCTCTTTGCACCACTGTTGGCTGGGTAGTTCGATGCAACCTCTGTGGCAAAGCTGCAGCTGGCACTGCTTTGATGGCTGTTGTTTCTGGTTTATTATTTTCTGAGAAGCCATTAATTGCAGCCTTGAAACACACAACTGCTTTTCCTGTGCCGTACCCAATTGTGCCACGGTCCAGAGGCAGCTGTTCGATAGAACAGCACTGATGTGAATGATGTGCCCTAAAAGAAGCCTCTGCTAAACAGATTTTCAGAGGGTGAGGAGGGAGAACTCTGCCTGCAGCCAGCACAGTTTGCATTGCACAGCAGCACTGTGCACTGTGTGCTACCAGCTGCAAGCAAAGCCTCCTCCCAAGGTCAGTGGGCTTCACCGGGGTAATTTCTGCTACAATTCCACCAGCTTCACGCTGATTTAAATGTAAGCGTATCCATGAGAAAGACCTGAAATACGCTGGGAAGAGGAAAAGGCATTTCTCAGGGAGGGAAATGGCAATGATTCACTTTAGAAATTTAATCCCAGCAGGGTTATCTCAATTCATTCCCTGATCCAATGCAAAAACGCTCCAGGTCATGGTTTCGGAGTCCCAACCTGTTTCATATAACCTTTAATTTAAATGAACAGCTCCTGGACTGTAATCAGATAAATGTGTGAGATTTGCACATAAATGGCACTGAGAGCCCAAGGGCAACAGGTGATGTTACTGCACTGCCTCTCCCTGTGTACACATGCTTGGCACCAAGCTGCAGCCCCACACTGCTGATGGGAACAAGGCAGTGAAGGCTGAAATATTTCATGCTGCTGCGGAGGCCTGCAGCTGTGCAAAGCAGAGAGAAGCCTATCTGTATGTAACTCTGTGTTTACACACAGATGTGAATAGGTGCACGAGGGCAGAGATGGCAGCAGCCTGCAGTCAGTCTGTGCTGCAGGCAGAGGATGGCATCGTTTACACCACGTACACTGAAATCTTCAATGGCACCAAACATTAAGACCAATTCATTTGGAACAGGAGATATTTTGCAGCTGTGCATTGCTCCAGTACTGGTTGGTGCTGTGATTAAGCTTGCCCAGATTTGTATAAATCCCAGCCTGCAGCACCCACTGCATTTACTCAGTGGGGAGGTGAACTGGCTGCAAGAGCAAAATTCCCTGCAGCACCTGACAGCTTAGCAGAGAAATCCAATATTCTTCACACTGGCCAAGTAAAACAGAGCAGACAAAGGTCAGTGAGACTTAAGAGTCCCACATTGGGAAGGTTCTCAATTAGTGGGAAGCCCGCCTTTACTGTGTGGCAAATGAAGCATACATGTTTTGCAGAGTTGGTCTTCAATGGGGTCTTTCTGAAGTAATGAAGCAAAAGTATCTTACAATGACAAATTGAATGCATCCTGGTAACCACATATCCTGTATCTGCAACAAAAAGCATTGCTTAGGGCTCTCCCTGTGCACGGCCTATTAATAGTGAGGGCTCTGGGAGGGGAATGCTGCCCAGCCCAACGCCTGCATGGGGTCAGTGGTGTGAGCAGCACCCAGCACTGCTGCTCTGCAGCGTCCTGGCACAGTGATGGCAGCGTGCAACTGCCCTGAGCTGTGCCTGCAGTGATGGATGGCACGCAGCCGGCCCCCAAGCTCAGCAAGCACGGCAATTTACGAGGCCACACCTTTCCTGGCGGCACCGGGGCACAAACAGTGCTAGGAAAATGAGTAAGCATTGTCAGATGTGCTAAGAGAAAAGAGAATCGTGACTCCGGAAAACTGAGGCAAGTTCTGGGAAGAAATGACACCTGGCACAGCTGCAGTCCCCAGAACTGCACACTGCTGGGTGACAGAAAGGGCAGCTCAGTGACTGCATCATGGCACTGAGTTAGATCAGCTACTTACACATAAATGCTTCACCTCCAATGTACTGAAATGCATATAGTTCAGGCAGAATTTACACAATTCTTTCAACAAACACCTGAATTTCAATGTATGCTGCCTGGACTGCCTGTGGTGTCACATGCAGAACGCATCTGGGTTTGCTTCGTTGTTATGGTTAGCTCTGCAGTGAATCAATTTGCACCACAAATCAGAGGCTGAAGCCTTTAGCTCCGGGAGCACCAGTGCTTTACCTCAAATCCACAGAGCTCCGATTGCAATCACACAAATCCCAGTTTCTATGGGCAGCCTTAAATGATTTTCAGATGCAAACTGACTGCTTCTCTCTGCTGCATCTGAGATGAGAGCAATCAAACCCCTGCTGCTGCCAGGACCTAAACTGCCTCTGCTTAACTGAGTTTTCAGTGAAAAGCCCTTTAGAATTCCCCAAGGAGAAGAGAAAATATGAAACCCTTCAATTTCCTTCAATAACTGTTTAATTTAACACACTTGTGGGCGATAGCCATTAAAACCCAACACGTTTACAGCTAGCTATTCCTTAGCAAAACCTAGGAGCGCTGACAGAAGCAAGGGACAGACGGTGCCAACCCAAAAGAAAACAGGAATGAACACAGGCTCTTAAAATGTAAAAATTTACACCACGTTGGAAAGGAATACAACACAAATGGTGAAGTCATGGCTTGTGTTTTACATGCAAGTCACAGACAGGAATTCCCCTTGTTACGTGACACAGTTCTGCAGTTGTTCCAGACAGTACAACTTAAGCATCCGTCTGCGTGTGACCACACTGCTCAATGCAATGCAGTGATGCTGGGCTCTGTCCTTTTTCCACTGAGCTCAGCACAAGCAGTGCTGTGTTCACAGTCTCCCAGTTTCTCAGCCTGCAGAGTAATACAGAAAGGAGTGCTACCAAAATGCACCCGCCCTCCTCCAGGAGCCAACCTAACAGCAAATCCTCCCTAAGGCCTCAAGGATTAACCTACAGCACTGCCGGACCAGCTGCTGGGTGCCTCTCATACAGTAGCACTTACTATAGTAAAAAAGAACCAACTAACTTTAACAGAAGTGCATCTACATAAGCAGAAAGGTTTTTAGCTTGGTAAGAGCACAGAAAAACACCTTAACCAACCATTAAAGTTCTGCAGTATAACTGCATGCCGAAATCCAGTTGTGTAAGTACAATTCACTTTGCCTTTTGGGCTTTCACAAGGAAGGATGTGGCCAAATAAGAGCAGTGTTTGCCATGCACACGCATTGCTCACAGCTGGGGCTAGAACAGCTTTCCATCTCTTTCACTGGTCCACTCAAGGGCCTACACTGTTTGACTCCAAAGCAATCTCTCACTTCATTCCTGCCTTGTATCCCCAGCCAGCCCCTCTGCTCCGCACACAGGTGGGGGCTTTTACAGATGAAGCCATCAGCACAAAGAGGGCAGGGCCCCTGCATGCACTGCAAGCCCAGGGCTTCTGGTGGTAACTAAAGCTGAAAGCTTTCTTCCTCTGATCTCTCTCCATTTCTTAAATTATGGTTATTGAGCTTCAGTGCGTAAACAATCCAATGAAAATTACAGAAATGGGTTGCCAACTTCCAGTCCCTTAAGGGGGGAAAAAAAATCCAAATGGTCAGCTGTACTGGTGGAATGATACTCATTTTATACACATAAAAATAACAATAGAAATCAAGAGTTCTGTGCTGGCCTGCCAACACCATCAAGAGGCTGAAAAATATCAAACGATAGCACCATTAGCATTTCTGAGAAGACTCCCCGCATAATTGCTGCTTGAAGTTTCCCTTCCCTAACATGCTCTCTCTGATTGCTCAGTGATGGCTGTGACCCTAACAGACAGCTATGCCCATTGTGGCACAGCACACTTGGTGAGACCTGCACCCCCGGCCCAACCAGACATACTTCTCAGAGGGACCGTTTGAGCACCGTTAAAGTGTAGCACAAATGAAACAAATCATGCCTTCCCTGTGTTTTGCAAGAGCACCGTGTGGATCTTGGGCTGCGCCACCCTGTGCAGTGACAGAGCAGCACGGCTGGCTGGTCCCCAGCTCCCTCCTGTGCCGCAGGGCTGCTCCCAGAGCCACCACGGGTCCAGGTGCTTTCTGGGCTTGGGATGGTCCTGTCACCTCCTGGAGGCCCGCTCGTCCCCGCGGTCCTGGTCAGGAGCCCCGTGGTGCCCGTGCTGGCGGCAGCTTTGGCAGCATTGCATGTGGACCGTCGGGAGGTGGCACCTTCCCAGCACCCGCAGGGTCTGGCAGAAGCTGAACGTCAAGCGGTCCCGCTCACAAACGAAGCCTAGAGGATGTGAGAGGACAAGGACAGCGTTACTGCAGTCCCACTGTGGCAGGCATTTGACAGGAAAATCAGCAAGCACTTGATAGAGACTTCACAAAATGCAGTCACCTTCCCCTCAGCACTGAGCAGCCATTGGTCCTCATTTCTAATCGCCAGCAGAAGCAAAATCTGTACTTCTACCTACAGCCTGCAGCACCTTTCCAGAGCAGAGAAACCACAATGGCAGAAGCAGGGCTGAGCCTGGGCCTTGTCACCACTGCATTGCACAGAGCAGCAGCCCCGGAGCCGGGTGTTCATCCCATCCAATCCTAGACTCCAGTTCAGTCTCAGTTTGTGGCCAGCGAATGCAACGACGAAACTGCAAATGTCTTCAGCGCCGTGTCGGGGCCTGGTGCTGCCAACAGCAGTGGTTGAATGTGGCTCTGCAAGCTTTCCTGGCCACACATCTCCCAACAGCACCCCAAAGCCCTCACCTCAGCGACAATTCATTTCTGTGTTGTGCTTAACTTGTTTCATCTCCTTCCCTTCCTGCAGGTGTCTCACAAACCTCCATGCTGTTCTGCAGACGGGCTTTGTTTTGGGAACTGCTTCTCCCCGGCCAGCTGCAGGAGCGGCGACTGAGACACGCAGGGCTTCCTCTGCCAGCAGCCAGGGAGCACTGAAGGCAGAGTGACACAGCCAGGTGCTTCATCCACTCCTTGGCTTCTGCCCACAGAGACTTGGCCTGAAAAATACCCTCACACTTTGCATGCAAGTCCCAGTGCTGAACATCCTGTGGAAGCTGCAGGAATCGGCCCCAGACCGGGCTCTGGTGGGACAGACCCATCTCCAAGCACGCACTGTTTACAAGCCTGCATCAGGGGTTTGCTTCAATTCTTAATTTCCACCTTTTCCAGTTTGTATGAAAACAAGCACTGCACACTGCTGAGCCTCTAGCATCTCACACAGCAGTGTAAAACACTGAAATCACGTCTGTTCTAATTTCATCTCCTGTAGAAGTGATTAAACACAATGACAGCCCTTCTGTGGAAAAGGGCAGAGTGGCTGCACCCAAGTCCAGCAGCCCTGTGCTCCCCGTCCCTGCGCATCTCCTGCCCAGCACACACAGACGACCATGGGGTGGCCCCACAAAAAGGCCGTCTTTTCTCTTTCCCTAGGCACTTTTTGGCAGGGAATTGCCAGCGGTGGGGACAGAGCCAGGCAGCTCTGCGAGCACTGCCCTACACCATCTCCCTTTGGTGAACAAAGGTCTTCGTTTAGGGAAAGGCCAACGTCCCCATTCCCACCGGGAACAATCTGGTCCTTGGTGCTGAGAGCAAGGGACACAGCAGATGCAGAACAGTGTTCCCCTGCTTTTGGACTTCAATCGCAGCCTTCAGCCTGCCAGCAAGGTCGTCACTATCCTGCTCTAAAATTAATCTTCTATTTCAGTAGAGGTATTTCCTCTCTTCCTCTCTACCAACAGCTACTTCTGCACGGCAGTAGTGTCTGTGCCCTGAAGGAAACAATTAATGCTGATGCTGCTGCCTGCTGGTGCTGCCGGCTCCAGCTGCTGCCACCAACCCGTACCAGCACTAGAGCTGGCCCTGTGCTGTGCTCCTTGCCTGGGTTTGGGTCTGTTCTGCACAGCATGACGCAGATTTCCAGGCAGAGCAGAGCTGATGAGGAATTGCTGGAAAGCCCTGAGTGGCTGTGGCAGGGTGCAGTGCACAACCCCAGCTCCACTTCAGTAACAACACCAAGAGCACTGGAGCTGTTAGGCAGAGGGGAACGGCTTGCTCATGTGATGCTCCTTTGATGTCAGTCACAAGAATTGGTCACAAGCATCCCTGCACCACAGAATTCCTTTCACTGTGAGACTGCTGGACTCACAAATGGGTCTACAGTCGTGTTTGCAAGTGCTGCAGGTCACGGCTGCACTGAGCAGTGATTCAAATATACCTTCAAAGTTTCTGATGGGAGATGGAAGCCTCAGTTTCTGCTTGCAGAAAGCCCTCCTGCCCCCAAAGCTTTGTGCTGGAAATAGTTTGGGCACCTGGCTGCCACCCAAACTGCAGAGCTGCACACAGCCTCAACCATCTCAGCTGCTGAAATCCCTGCACTAGGGCAGGACTCAGTGATCACTGACCATCAGCTGCAGCACGGCTCTGGCAGCATGGTGTGGGCTTCCTGCAGCATTCACAAAGCTGTCGGGTTGGCTTGCTGGCTTGGATAGCAATGCTGAGCAGGAGAGGTGGAGACAACAGCTATGGCCCAGGCAGGTGTGGATGAGATGGCATGCTCCACGGGGCTGGCTATTTGCTGCATCTAACAGTGCAAATGTCACACCAGTTAAAACCCCAAGGGGCTTACAAGAACTCAGTTACTTCTGTGGCATTCTGGAGGCTCAGCCCTGCTGTGGGAGTTGGTGCTGGGCTGGGATGGCCCTGCAGAGCGCTGGGAATGTCAGTGGGCAGCTGCATGCCTTGCTGTGCTTGTTGCTGTTCACGAGCCTTTTGCTCATACAGCCTTCCTAGAAAGTTATTTATGGATCGCAACCAAGCTGCCTCCTGCCTGCCCTTGCAAGAGCTGTGAAGGTTTTGCTGCTGGAGCTTCTGGCTGGAGGGCAGCCTCCCAGGGCTGTCGTTTGATCCCCTTTCCAACAGGTCAGTGCCCTGGCACGGGAATGGAAATTCCCAACACAGCATCTGTGCTCAGGCAGAAGACCAGCAGCCCCACCAGGCGAGGATTCCCTGGGTAAGCTGAGTTATGTGCAGAGCAGGTCCTGCTAGAAGACACAATCCAGGGCGGGCTTGCAGAGTGGGGATTCTGCTGTTCCTTCCTGACCTCCCGTCAGACCCTGCAGCAGGGCTACGGTTGTCAAAAGCATTTTTATAAAATGAAGTGGTGGGGCGTTGCTGAGTGCTGGTCGCTCAGGCCCCGCAGTGTCCCAGCACACAGGGTCAAACTCAGTGTGGAACAACTTGGCTGAGCCACGATTCCTCCCTGGACAAGGCAAGCTATAGCCAGCTCTTCATTTTTCAGCTCTTCAGAGAAGGTCCCTGCAGATTTGGTTCAATTTTCATTTAATCCTTCTACTGTTATTTTTGTCTATTAACAATTTTTTTTAATGATCCTAACACTTCATCTATGAACGCACTTCAATCGTCAAGCTGATGCCAAATTTTACTCTGAAGAAATAGCTTAAAGCAGGGCTTTTCAAATCCAGGCCAAGTCAGCACATTAGAAACTGAAAACCCAGAAATTTGTGGTTGTTTTTTTAAGTTGACGTGGAAGTCACTTTACATTTCATTTAAGCTTCTGCCATACAGAGCTAAGCACTTACTTTTATGCTGGTGAAAAACAAACTTCCTGGTACAGATGTTGTAAAAACAAGGCAAGGTTGGGCTCAGAGCTGAGCCAGCAAGACAAGAGCCCTGAGCCTCTGACCTCTGGCCTGTGGGATGCTCTCAGAGCCAGGTCCCAATTTAACAAACTTTATCCCTGGCTTCTGCTCCCAGGGCTGCAGACCCTCAGCTGGCAGCAGCAGATGCTGAGTGCAGCAACATGAGTGTGGCCAGCGTTACAGACTGGTGAGCATTCACATGCCATGGTCTGGATGCTGTCTGTCCCACCCACACCTCAGTTCCCTGCACGTAATGCTGGTGTGGCACAGTCACCCCCTTCAGAGCCCCAGCGGGCAGCACGGTGTTTCTGCAATGCTGGGAATTGCACCAGTGTCAGGAAAACAGGTCACTCACTTCTGTGTGAGATGCAAAGTTAAATCCCTGGTGCTACAGTATGTGCCCAGTCTCTGCTCCTGCAAAGCAAACCTGCACTGCTGCCATCACCCATCCTGCTGCCCCACATACTCTGGCCATTCATGCCAAGGTCCATGGAACTTTAAAAGCTTGGAAAATGGGGAGAGGAAAGCTGAAAGCCCCCATTATTCAGGTGCTGGTGCTCGAGTATGGTATCACTGTGCAAGGATCACCAGCACCCAGCCTCGGGATCATGGACAGGAGTGAGCAAACAGCCGTGCTCACCAGGGGGGGAGGAGCAAGGAGCCATTTGTCAGTCTGGATCCGACAGGGAGGAATTCTCATTTCCCAAGAGCTGATATAGAGCCAAGACTGGAGGATTTTCCCTACACTCACAGAAAACAACTGTGCTGTCTTTCACTTCATTCTCAGCAAAAAAAGAGAGGGGGAGAAAAAGCCAACTCTACTTAAACACATTTCTGTACATGACCTACAGCTTCCTCTCCAAAAGCTGAAGACACTTATAACACACAGTTGGCAAGGCAGGCAGGAACATGCAGCCATTTTGCATCTACAGACTCACTGATTGCTTTGCTTTTATTTTTTGTGCAAGGGGATTAGGCAGAGTAGTGGTGCTGGGCTGATGAAGGAAGCAGAAGGTGGGGGTGAGCAACTGGGAGAGCCAATGCACGGCTGGGTGCTGCTGACCCTGTGCCCATGGGGAAGCACTCCTTCATTTCAGCCCTTGCTTTCCTTACTTTTATCACCCAGAGCCCTCACTGTCAGTGTGTATTTCCTGGTGCTGGAGATGAACAGGCCCTTTTGCCCCCCCTAACTGCTTGCTCTGGACAATGAACTTCATTAAAGTTAAAAATTCATTTAAGCTTCTGCCATACAGAGCTAATTACGTTTATGCTGGTGAAAAACAAACTTCCTGGTACAGATGTTGTAAAAACAAGGCAAGGTTTGTTTTCAAAACCTTCCATCTACTTGGAGATTGCCAAGGAGGAGAGAGGAGACGCATCTTCCTCTCTGCTGCTCAGCTCAAGGTTATGCATGAAGACTGAGAATCCTTTCCAAAGCTCCACTCTCCACTGACTGCTGCTGTTAATTAGCAATAAATAAAGGGCACTTAATGGCAGAGCCTCCCTCTCTTGCCACCAGGACACAGACTTACATGTGCAAATGACAAAAAAATTGGAATTTGCTGCCGTTAATTCCAGCATGTATCCCTTGCGGACAAACTTAGCAGTATGCAGAACCATGAATAATTTCGTTTCCCTACTCAAAGCAAGAAGAAATAGGATGTTTAATTGCCAATTAATCTTGAGGTGACTGGAAATACAGCCAAGCACTGGATAATGAGCCTGGAGCACAGGCGACAGCAGGCTGAGAGCACACACAGATCTGCCGCTCCTCGGGCTGCTCCTGGGGCACAGGCAGAGCCCACTCCTGCTGGCAGGAAACCTATGTTTCACTCCTATAGGAACCACAGCCATGGCTGCTTTGTGCAGCCTTGTTCTTGGGACAGCTGTACTCCTCGCCTTTATCCCCTTCCCTCTCTGGTATTTCTGATTTGAGATATTTCTGGGGATCAGTCGCTTTGCGAATGTATCTCTGCAGCACAGCCCCTGCATCGTCTGTTTTCAGCAAGTGGGCAATGGCTGCTGGGGGAGAGAGGGAGCAGTGCCAGCAGCACACAGTCCCCTAAGGGGGGCTTGTGTTTAACGATGTCCTGATGGACAGGGCATGCTAACAGCAAGCTATGCACTTTGCTCCTCGTCCCCCAGCAGGACAGGAGTGCGGACACATCCCAGCTGTGGCTCCCCACCCTGGTGTCTGCTGCCCTTCCCTCCTGGTGCTCTTTGCAAAGGCAGTCACTGTGTTTTTTTCCTGTTTTCTGAGCTGCAAGAAACGACTGAAATGATCTGGTAACAGGCATGGCTGATGTGCGTGCAAAAGCTTGGGGTCAGTGCATAGGCATGGATGGAAATCAGAGAGCTTTCCCGAGACAAACGCTGCTCTTATCTTGCTGGCAGCCACGTCCACAGTCCAGCAATTCTGCTCCTGCTCTTATCTTCTAGAGAGCACTGCCAGCAGCACAGAGGCGTCCTCCAGAACAAGGGGCAGCAGGGCTCTCCTGGCTGCCACGTGAGGAAGCAAAGCCCAGCAAAGCACCAGCAGATCCTACGCAGCCCCTGGGTCCTGTGCTGTGCCAGGGCACTCAACCAGGGACAGTGACCATTCCCACTCACCCTCAGTGGCTCTCCTATAGGGTCCCCTTCCTGCTTCCCCAGGTTGTCTCCCAGACACAGGGTGACTGCCCGTGGTTTCAGTTCCTCCTCAAGCTCCATGATGCCTCATGCTCAGATCTGACGAGGATTCTCCTGCTGTGGCATCACAGATGTTTGAGTTCCTTGTTTCTGTATGGAGTAAGAAGGCTGTCCCCAGCTTTGCTAGGACACTGTGGGGACAGACCTGAGGGACTGGCAGGATCAGTTGCTGCCTGGGAGCCATCTCAGGACACAGCCAACCTTATCTTCTGCACTCACAGCTGGATGCAGCTGTAAAAGTGCAAGAACATTTAAAAATAACTTCTGTGTAATCATCAATTAATTTATAACCCAGTGACGAAACTGGATTCTGGTTTTAATTAATTCCGACCTCCTTTAATTGAGGAGAGAAGATTGCCGGTGAGATGTTTGCTTATGTCTAATCTGTTCCATCTCCTTTAAAAATCCATCTGATTATGTTTTTAACATTTAAACTCTGCTGAGGGTATTCACATCTTTTAACGAGAACATAATTGTTCCCAAAGATGAGTGCATGATCTGGTACCAGTGCACTCCGTGTTACAGGAGATAGAGGCTCCTCATCCTTCTAACGTAAACACATGAATCACCACAGCCCTCATTAATCTTGTGCAGTAAAGATCCTCTAGAGCTCAGGAAAGGGCCAGAGTTTACGTTCATGCCTTTTCTGGGAGCCTCTGCCTGTGGATTTACACATCTGTGATTTCCTGCCATGTGAAAGTTTTGTTCCTCCTCATAGTTTGGCAGGAAATGTTTGTATTTCCAAGAGGCGTTTCCTGCCCTGGGCCACAGCCAGAGCATTTATGTCATTTTTAATCCAGAATTGTAACATTTATTTGTGTGCTTCCTACACATCTAAGTGGTTATTCTGGTACAGCCTTGAATATGCCGAGCATCGACACAGCTCTCATCACCAAGCCCAAGTGATGGGAATTTTCCCTTGACAAAAATAGCCGGAACTACACATCATTTCTTGACCAAACCTAATGGCTAGGGGCTGCCTGGAGGCTGGACAGAGCCACAAGTGCTGCTGCCCTGCCCTGCCCAGCCCCACAAGAGAGCTCAGCACATCAGAAGTTTCTCGCTGGACAGACAAAAGCTTTTCTCTCCAGACAAATTCAAAAGATAAGGCTGATTAATAATTAACATGTTAATATCAGTGACATCTAATCCCCCCATTGCACTGCTTTTCCTTTTAAGAGCTCTTAACTCTTGTGGTGCACAGGTATTTCCTGTAACTCTCTTGTCTTTCTCCATTTCAACTTCTACCAGTCCTACATAATGTAAAACATCAACCCCAGCCTCAACCCTGAGCATTGAGGCAAGGCAGCCCAACCCAGATGCACACTGAGATGTGGTACAAAGGCAGTTACACTTCTTGACTCCAGTGGGAGTATCTGTTGAAGACTGCCTGGAAGGCAGATTGGCACTGGCTGTGTGTCTGACTGGTAAGTGTCAGGTAATTAATATCAACTAGCATACACCACTGGAGCCAGAGAAACTCAATAAAGAGAGGATTTGATTCTTATTCTGTTGAAGCTGGTAGGATGTTTCACCTTGAAACAGGCACGGATCAATGACAGGAGGACTCGAGTGCTGCATCACACTGACCTGCTGGTGCAGGTTTATACAACACTCACAGCCAGGCTGCCAGAGCAAAGCACTTGCACCACACAGCTCAACAAGCACTTGGGGAGCACCAGCACATTAAAGAGAAAACATCTGGTAACCAGGAAGGGCAGAAAGGCCCGCGGGGCATCGCTCACTCACCTGCCTCGGTGCCTTCGCAGTTCTGCAGGTTGCACTTCTGCGTGCTCTCGGGCCACGGCTCGTGGTCACAGAGGCTGCTGTCCTCCTGCGCCTGCCCAGTCTGTGTGTCGATGCACTTCACCTGGCGCCGCTGGATGCCTCCTCCACAGGGCACTGAGCACTGCAGGAGCAGGAAGCTGTCAGCCCCAGGGAGTTTCTGTGTTTTTATTGCAGTAGTCCCCAGTGTGGGAAGATTTCTCAGGTTTTTATTGCAGCATTCCCTGGTTTAGTTCGGAGAGTTGGGGTTCTGCCCGAGGCCCTGGCACTGCTGCTCAGAGAAACTGTGATGCCCCAGCCCTGGAAGTGCCCAGGGCCAGGCTGGATGGGGCCCTGGGCAGCCTGAGCTGGTGGGTGGCAATCAGCCCACGGCAGGGAGTGGGGTTGGCAGTGCTTTAAGAGCCCTTCCAATCCAACCATTCTATTATTCAGCGCTAGCAATGTTTTCGTATATTGCTTTTCTAAGGAAACTAGGCCATGCAACGGGCACAAAGACCTGCTCAGCCCAGGGCTCTGCTGAGCAGCTGCAACAGCGTAGCCAGGAGGACACTGATCACAGAACCCACAAGAGAACTCTGTCCCCATCCCATGTGCTCACCTGTCCCCAGGATCCCACCACCCATTTGGTGCAGGGGTGGCTGTTGCAGGGCCGGGTGCTGTTGGGCCGCAGTGTCTCATCACAGTGGCCCAGCTCCGGGCACGTCACCAGGCGCTCCTGCTCCCCTCCACCACATGGCTCCGAGCACTGCAGGGACATCAAATGGTGGAACTCATTGTATTGGTTTCTTAAGGAAAAGAACTGCAAAATGCCCCTACCGATACATAAGCAAACACAAATCCTGCTTCCAGTGTTAAGCAACAACTTTGCAACTACAGCCGATATCAGCAGGTGGTTTCCTTCTTGACAATGGGTGCTCTAAATTGTGAAGTTTTCCAGAGCATGGAGGAGACAGGAGCTCTGCTGCAAGCACCTATTCCTGCACTGCAGATCCTTAATAGTCACCCTGACCCGCTGCCTCCCTGCCTGCCCAGCCCAGCCAGCAGCCCTACCTCTCTCCACGAGGACGTGTACCAGTCCAGGCACGGTGCGTTCTGGCAGGGCAGCTGCGCCGGGGGTTTGTAGAGAACAGCCTGGCAGTGGAAGGGCCGCAGCAGCCGCTGCTCTCTGGTGTCAACGCAGTGCACATCCCGAACCTTCGTGCCCCTACCACAGTTCTTGGAACACTGGGTGAACAAAAGGCACATCACAAGGGGGGCTGGGGCTGGGGCAGTCCTCCTGGAAAAGGGACCGAAGACATACTCCGCCTTGGGCTGGCTTGAGTTAACACTCAACTTCTTTTCACCTCTTTCTCTAGCCAAAGCTAGAGAACAGTGCGTGGAGCTCTGAATCCGTCACTACCTTCTTCATGAAACCAACTGGCTTCCAGTTGTAACAGCAACAAAGTCTTGGCATTAGACAAGTAGTGAGCTCCCATCCACACATCTCAGAGATTGAGGCTGCCCAGAACAACAGGGGTCATGCCTCACTGTTTAATTTAGGGGATTCCTCCAACCTAACTGCAAACACATCCTGCTACTGCAGGTTCTCAACTGCATCTTCCAGATACCTTCAAACCTTTCTTCAATGAGTTTTTGTGGCCCCAGCTTTTTAGCCACCTCAAAAGCAGAACAAATGCAAACTGAGAGGAAAGCAGCAAAAGCACACACCAGCAGCATGCAACTCTCTATCCACTAGGCAGGTACAGCCACTTTCCTTCTCCACGCATTACCAAGGAAGACACTGTGGAAGGAGAGACAGGGACTGGGTGCACGCCTGCTTACCTTGCTCCAGTTCCCCACACGCCAGGATGAGCACGGTCTCAGGGAACACCTCCGAGCAGGGACGGGTTTGCTGGCGGCGGCGCAGTGCTGCTCAGTGCCGGTGCTGCAGCGCACGCTGCGCCAGATTGCACCCACACCACAGGTGGCCGAGCACTGCAAGACACGGGCAGCCAGTAACACACCTGGGGCTGACAGCAGTGCGCTGCTCAGCTCACAGCTGCTGTGCTGGTGGAACCAGACCGTGCCACGATGAGGCACGGCCATGGGATGGAAGGAGCTTCGCAGTCTGCGGCCAGCAGCACCTGCGCTAAAACTCCACAGCGGGAGGCAGGCAGACCTCTGTCTGGGAGGAGGAAAACCCACTCCTACACTTTTTTGCAGTTGTTTCTGGTTTGAGATTGTTCTTTCTCTCCTCGCACGGGGAATCCCTGGCTGATGGCGGTGGCTTTAGCTTTTTCACTTCAAGAATGCTGTTAACCAGCACTAATTGTTCAGTAGTTTGAGCGCTCTCTCAAAACATGTTTTATGCCCTCCATGCCTCTCTTTCACAAGCACTGCTAGTCCTGCTTTTTTACTACTACAAACTCCAGTAGAGTTTTGTCTTCTGTTCACCCCACCTGAAAGGTACTGCCTTCATCTCCTCTTTCAGACTCACCCCTCACTTTCCAGACTGCTCAGGGACGGAAGGTGCCCTCTCACAAAGCCCATATGTGTGACTGTATCCTCCTGACAGCAAGTATTGTCCTCAAAGTTACTGGGTCCTTTGTGCAGCCTCCTTAAAAGAGTTCCCCAGAGCTCTGTCTCCAGTGATTCGTGCCACTGAAGGCCTCTTTTTTTGTGTGTGCTTTCTGATAAAAGCCTGTTACCATGAATTGCAGAAGCCATCTGTCTGTCACTGCAAGTGCTATGCAAAGAGCAACCATGGGACAGCTATCCAGTAAAACGATAGCTGATAATTACTTATAATTCCCCATTCACTACATTCAGTGCAGCCCCTTCCCTTTGGTAATTTGCAACCTTACTGCGCCTTAACTTTGACATTTAAGCCTTTGCCGTTTTGTGGAATATTTTAAGATAACTGTGCTATGGTGGCAGCTTGCTCCTGTGCCTGGCTCCTGGCAATGCCTGGGAAAGGCATGGGTCTCCTATATTCTTAAAAACAGCCCCACTATGCTTTTAGTGGGACCCAGCACATACCTCGCTCCAGTTGCCGACCTCCCAGCTGGGCACTGCAGTGCCTGCTATGGTGGTAGGAGGCAGCAGCAAAGCCTCCTCTTGCTCCCAGACTGGCAGGGGTGTGGGGGTGGGCTGGGGCACCTCGTGCTCCCCAGCACCGTAAGCAAGTGTCCCTGGGGCTGCTGGTGGTGAGTGCTCCTCAGGAGCAGTGTGGCCAACTGGGGCCATGCTGGAGTGCTGCTGGGTGCCGGGGGATGGCACTGGCACTGTGTGGTAAGGCCCCTGTGTTGCCCTCGGTCCCCATTTGGCCCCTGGCACTGCTGAGGGCTTGGAGGGTGATGCTCCTGTGGGAGGGCTGTGAGCTGGGGATGCTGGCATGGCTGGCACCAGGGCACCTTGTGGGGTGAGGTCACCGGCAGTGAGCTGTGTCAGCGGTCCCTGCATGGTGGGGGACACAGGCACTGGTGGCAGCGATGTTGTGGTGGCTACCAAGGGAACCAACATCAGAGACAGATGGATGTGGTTTCCTGGCTGCTGCCCTGCCTCTCCTCCAGGGCCCACGGTGGCATCTGCAGGATGGGGGCTCTCATGGGGACCTTCTACATGCCTTCCCATCTCCTGCTGTGGGCTCTGTGCAGTGGGGGACTTTGGAGCCACCCTATCTGTCACACGCAGCAGCTCTTCAGTCACCGGTGCTGCATGCGTGTGTGCAGTCCCCTCCAGTGCTGGTATTTCTGCCCACTCTTCCTGCTCCTTGGTCTTTGTGGCAGCGCTATTATTATCACCAGTGATGACAAATCCCATTTCCCTTGAGTTTTCACGGCCTGCACTATCAGGAGTCACTGTGCTTGCACGGTCCTGGACTCTGTTTGCAGGCTCTCCCACAGGCTGCAGACTGTTAGGTGTACTGCCTGCACCGGGGCTGTCCCTGTCAACGGGCAGCGGTGTAGAGGGACTGGTCAGGGCCCAGGAATCAAGGCTGTGAGGTGGAGCATCCCACGCAGGACTGGTGCCCACCAGTGTAGCACCCAGGGATAGCCTGGGGAGCAGCAGGCTGCTGGTGGAGCCATGACTCACTGCAGGCTGGGTGGGCAGTGGACCCTCGGAATAGGGCACAGGCAGTTCTTCCCCCTCATTCCTTGTGAGAGCAGGAGCAGCAGTGCTGGGAGTGGCTGTCCCCATTTCTTCACCCTCAGAGAACACATCAAATAGGTTGTTAAAGACCAAACCCCCTGACTCAGTCTCCTCTTTGCCATGCACAGGAGCAGAAGCATTTGCTTCGATTTCCTTCACCAGATCTTCCTCATGTTCTCCTCCTCCCAGCTTCCTGGTGTGCAGGACATCCGCAGGCATCTCAGGAGACTCCTCCACATTGTTGCTGTTCCACTCTGGCTTAGGGCCCTCGCTTTTGGTCTCCTTCTCAGTGAAGGGGTAGTATGACAGATCCTCATGAAAGTTGATAAAATTGTAATCGTAGTAAAAATCATCAACAAAGAAATTTCCCTTTCTGGTTGAGAAGTCATCCTCAGTTATGATATTGACATCATTGGACTCGGGGATATTTGGAATTACGGGGTTAAATTGGGGAATATGGTTATTTGGAATGTAATTTATTTCATTAAAAATCTCTCTGCTGGAAGAGCCGCTGCCAGACCAGTCAGTGTTGGTGTTGTCTAATTTCTTCTGGCACCGTGGCAAGGAGCAAATAGTTTCCGAGCTGGGTCTTTGTGCAGGGTCACAAGTTGCTTGAGTATTATTGCTGCAGTAAACAGGGCGTCTTTGTGTTCCATTCCCACATGTTGCTGAGCACTAGGAAAGGAAGAGGAACAGAAATTTCAGAGACAGGAGCACAGGAGTTGTAGGACGGTGAGAAAACAGTGCAGTTTGGGCAGAGGGCAAAGGGCTCTGCCTCTGTGACCAAACAGCTGGGTACGCTGACTCCTGCTGCGGCCCTGCATTCTGCACATCCCATGGTGGTGTGGGGCATCAGCACGGCTGCTGGCTGAGTCAAGCACTGGGGCTGTCTCTCCACTACAGACCGCCTTAGGAAGGCACACACAGCAGGGCATTTTGCACAGGGTGATCCTTGACCTGCACTCCAGATAGAAATGATTTTCCCTGGAGATAGACACTGTGAAGGGCTTTGGGCTGGATGATCTAATAGGTCCTTTCTTTGCGACCTATCGCCACGAATTACATCTCTTCTGGAAAAGCATTTCTTAAAGAAGGGAATAACAACATGGGTGTTGTCCCAGTAAGTGAAAGAAAAAAGCAAGGGTCAATAAGCAGCTTTGTAGAGGACACCCCCTCCTCCACCATAATAGTCCCTTTGAGATTGCTCAGTATGAAAGAACCCACAATCTGCAAAGAGAGACAGCAATATTTTCTGCAAGAGAAGTAAACTGTAGTGCTACTAACATCACATGTGGGCTGCTCAAGCCACAGGCTGCTGCAGTTTGCTACAGCAGATGCACAGAGCATTAGTCACATACATCAGCATGCCTCACACAATGCAGCCAGCAAGAACAAATAATCTCCAAGTCAAACAAATCCAACAGAGGGGATTTCTGCAAAAGTTGCTGTTCTCAGGATGAAAACAGATGGGCTGAGAGGTGGAGGTGGATGCACAGCCACCAGCACTTGAAGGTGAGTGCAAGGTGGGCAGAGAGAGCCCTCAGGGTACCCGCAGAGCCTCAGGGCTGGGCTGGCCTGGAGATGTGGTTCTCAAACAATTTACACTTGTCTATTTTGAGCCTTTCTTGTGTTTGCTCAGCCCTTGCAAGGGTCCAGCGCCCAGATGGGATCCCTAACACTCCCTGCTCTGGTGCTGGTGGGCTCCCAGCAGGTGCCCTACATGGGATGTGTCCCCCTCGGTCAGATGTGTGTCACCCTGTGGGCCACGTCCCTTGGCTGCCCTGAGAGGTGCTGCCCCTGTACTGGACACGATCCCCTATTTATGAATCTCCTGGGAAATGCTGAGGAGTGGAAGTGATCCTAAGGAATGTGCCTGGCACAAGGCAGGGTTCATAAAACTGCATGGCCATCACGGGGCACTTCCACCCTCCACACAGTGTCACTGAAATGCAGCATTTCCACTTGTCTGCCTCTGCAGCGGGGTGCAAGCAAGCTACCTCACCCCTCCAGGACAGCACTGCCAGATCAGGGGAAGCACAGGTCACCCCAGAGCTAAAAGTTCTTAGCAAATGGCTCCAGCTCCATCCAGGAGATAAGCTCCAGAAATCACAGCTCTCAAAGCAGAAAGGAAGAGGGTTATTTGCCAAGCCTCAGTTATCAAGAAAGCCCCTGAGGCACAGATAAGAAACCACTGCTGTTAGTAGCTGCGCAGGGGGAACAAGCATTGGTAGGAAAGTTTGGCCCCTAGCACAGCACTGCAGGAGGCACCACTGTGCCAAGCTGCTGACTGGGATGTGCTTCTGCAAGCATGCACCAGGGTCTGCAAATATACAAAAGCACTGAACCCCCTCTTATTATCCCTTTTTATGGCTAGGTGAACCAGGTTTCTGGAAAGCTTCCCAACCTCTCACATTTCCCTGCTTATTGGTGGTGGTGGCAATGTAGAAGAAAGAGAACTCTCACTTTAAGTGAAAGAAGAACAGAAAAGTTACAGACATATTAAAATCTCAAGCTCGTTTTCATGGTTTCACAGATGCATAGATGGCAAAGCCAAAGAGGAGCATTGTGACAGCCTGTGCTGGCTCAATACATAGCACAGACCTCCGGGCAACTTGGAATTCAAGATTTTTCCTTTAAACCATTGCAGCTTTCTTTCTCAACCGTACTATTGTGGCTTTTGTGGGCCTCTAGAAAAATATTTCTAAATAGCTCTCATTTAGCCTTCAAATTTTCTGTTCACATTTTTATTCTGTGTGTTTCTTAGCAACAGGCTCCGTTCCCAGGCTCTGATTTGCCTCCTGATACTTTTCTTTACACCAAACACTTTCTGAAACCAACGCTCAAATTAGGAGTTATGCCTCTTTGGTTAAAAAACCTCAACCACAAAAATAAAAATAAGGCTACGCAGAGTGCCCACTGAACACAGCTTTTATACTCCTCTCTTTTTTAAAGTATATTGCTGTAAAACTCCCCAGGGCAGCCTGGCAGCAAAGGCAAGGCAGCCACATAGCCAACGTGTGTGGATGCAGAGCAGATGTCCATCCACCTACAGACACGTGCATGGCACAGCTGGGCCCCTGGCTGGCCTGCAGCACCTTGCCTCTGCAAGCACAAAATGTTTTCAAGGCTTCTGCCAAAACAAAGGGGAAAGATTTCCACACTGAAGGCTTCAGTATCTCCTGTTTCTGCCTTTCTTGCATCAAGTGTGGAGCATGGCCTTGCTCTTGATGGAGAAAGCAGCATAACTCATATGAGAATGAAACAGTCAGACATCCTGGTGCTTCTTCCTTACTGAGATCTTCCTGTATCACAAAATTCCTTTGTGAGAGATCTGATATTGCATGCACACTCCAGAACCACTTTGCCCTGTAGCCAGGCGTGCCCCTGCCTGCTGCAGGACATCCTGGTGGTACATCATCTGTGCTCCTGCCGGCTTTGCAGGAAACTGCAACCACCCCCGTGATGTGTCTCACCTCTGACCAGTTCCCCATAGCCCACTGAGAGGGACAGGGGACATCCCGATGGCAGGGAGCAGTGGCTTCTGGTTTGGAGAGGTGCTGGCAATCCGCTTGCTGCAAAGCTCTCTGCTCGTCCAATCCCACACTCTGGATGCAGAGCACCGTCCTCTTCATCAACCCTGATGTCCCACATGTAGCTGAGCACTTTTGCCACTCACCAACCCACCACCTGGGGGAAAATAAAGGAGAAAATGCTGCAGTCAGTGCCCACCAGGCAGGATCTGCCCCCTGCCCCTGCTAGGATTGCTTGGGCAACAAGGGTATGTTGAGAAAGAGCAATAGAAGAGACAACAGACCTTGCTGGGCAGGGCTCCTCATTGCACGTCCTTTGCTGGTCATCAGGCCGTGTCAGTGTGTCACAGTAGTGCTCCTCCACGATGCCAGCCAGCTTTTCCACGCAGTGCACAATCTGCCTCTGCACCCCTGGGGACACAGACAAGGCTTGGCTCTCTACAATTCAGAGCACTGAACATCTTTAACAGCAAGCAGCAGGAGGCCCTGCCATTGCCTTCAGACACCAAAACCAGAAGAATATTAAACCTCCATTTAAACTGAACCTGAAACTTGAGAGCCCACTTTTCATGGCCCCCACATGCTGCCAACCACAGCAGCACTCCCATTGTGCCCAGCTGGGAGAAGGAGAGCTAGACACCAGATACATGATACATGTATGATTAGAGCTAGGAAACATAACTGTGCTGGAAAATGATTCTGAATGTGGAGCTGCTCAAGCTGGGACAGTCTAGGCTGCATGGAGGTTACCACCACTGTGCAACCAGCACAGAGGACCCTGGGCATCAGAAGCAGAGGACAGCAGCCAAAGCACCTCCCAGGGCTTGAGGAGGTATGATCTGCCTGTCCGGCACGAGGCAAACCACTGATCCTGTCCTGGGATCGAGGCCAGGGCTGCTCAAGCAGAAAGCTTCAAACAGGCTGCAGAAAGGTTTGGCAAATTTTGTGCTTACTTAAAAAAAATAAAAATAAAAGCGTCAGATTCTACCTGCTCTTTCAGGGCACAAAGATGTCAGGAAATACCCCAAGAAAAGCCAAGAATTTCCATGGGTCTTTCCCAGTCCTACTCCTAGCCTCTGCACCCTGACACCTCCTGCCCCTGCTCTGCAGCACTCACAGGTGCCATTGTGCAGGATGACCTCACTTCCACCACGCTGCTTTGCTATCAGCCTTTGTCCTGCTTTTTGCAATACATACTTGACCCGTGACTTGAGAGAGCTGTAAATAACAGTGACCAGCTGAGTGGTGATGGGGCTGCTGAATTCTGCTGGGGGAGCTCCCAGTGCTGTAGCTCCAGTGCTCAGAGACTTCTGAATGTGTGTAGGGTTTGCAGAACCAAATCTCAAATATCTCAGCTCTGGGAATGATTCCAATGGAGTGAGTGTCCTCATCAGCCAACTCCTGCCTCATTTACTCCTGTATTTCCATTCTGTTTCGGAAGCTATGAACCAAGCCATGCAATGGAGTGCTGGTTTTAAATAAAAGAAAGTGACTTTGCTATCTTCTTTTGACAGCACAGGCTGCAGAGCAGCATGTCATGGGCACCCATGCAAATCCACAGCAAAGAGTTCTTGTAGCAAAAATACATAAAAAGGCCAACAAATTCATGCAGCTCCACATCTCTCCTGCTTCAAGGCAGGAAAAAAAACCCTATCTTCCAGGAGAAGGCAGGAAATATCTCCTGGCTCTCAGTACTGCCTAAAATGGATGAGTGTTTGTGAAGTCTCTTCACTTTTCACACAAAGGGATCCTTCTTTTTTCCTTTTAACTCTTACCCAGACCTGCTGCGCAGCTGCTCTCGAGGAAGTGCTTGCTGCTCCCAGCCTTGCTCTGTGCCACGTGCAGGACCCACCCCTCCCCATGGGTGCTATGCTCAGCCCTGCACTGCTGCAGAGAATGTTCAGCTCGGGAGAAAGCCAAAAGGCTTGAGAGACAGAGAGAGAGAGACTGGATCCTTCTGATGTCTATTTACAATGTAAAGTGAAAACACTCACTGCTGTCAGTTCTGCGGAATGCCGTGAGAGCAAACGACCACACATGCTCACACACACATCCCTCGAAAGCCTCCCGTCTCATGGGGCCTGGGATGCTTGGGATGTGGTGGGGAGGAGGAGACATCAGATGTGGCATCCCGTGTACCCTGGGGCTGGTGGCCGCAGCCCCAACTGTGATGTTCTGCGCCCACCAACACCCTCTGAAGTGCTCTGTGCAGAGCTCTCTGTAAAGCTCCTGAAATAATCTCCCCTCCAGAGGCCCGGCCAGGCTGCAGACCGGCCATCTGACACTCTGATTTCTCAAAGCTCTTTTGTCTCAACCAACCCTACAGCCCAGGAACACCCGGCACAGTAACAGGACACCGAGCTGAGGAAAGTGCTGATAAAGAGTGGGCTCCCTGTGGCTGAGTGCAGCGGGGGCACCGAGGAGTTACAACCTCAGCAGATGCTGCTTTTTTTTTTTTCTCTCCAAGACCTACTGAAACCAAAGACCCAGGAATTTCTAAGGCAAATGCGAGCAATGTGCTCTGATGTGATGGGGAACGTGGCCCAGAGCATGTGCAGCTCTTGCCACCACTGCTTCTCAAACATCTGCCGTGATGCACGGTGCGGCACGAGGACAGTGGTCCCTTTGGCTCCCTGTACTACAAAATCCTGCCAGCATTTGCACTGTCTGCAATGAGAAGGAGATCAAGGATGACAGAAGAAGCAGCAAGGACTGATGGGCCAGGCCCTGCAATACAGGGATGCTTTGCCAGACTCACCGGTGCCACACGTGGCTGTGCACGCCGTCCAGGAGCCGAAGCGCCACAGGAACTCAGCGCGCTCGATCTCGTTCTCGCTGTCAGCTGGCCGCTGGATGGTGTACTGGTAGCGCACACCAGGGTTGGTTTCCTGGAACAACAGCTGTGGGGAGACAAGAGGAGGTGAGAGACACGGTTGGTGCAGCGTCTGACTGCTGCCTTGCAGGGGTTTTCAAGGAGGCAGGAACCCCCCGGCACAGCCACGCAGGTGTCACTCTGTCCAGCTCTGTACCAGTGCAGCGTTTGTCCCCTCACTGTTGGCCACGGACAGCAACGGTTGAGCTGCTGCTGCACTCCAACAGCAGCACGCAACCATTCCAGAAACAGTATTTAGCATGTAGTCAAAGTGTGTAAGAGAAGAGGAAATGCCCCAGCTGACCCCGCTGAGAGTACTGGGCTTGTGGAAACATTAGGTAATAATAAAAAGTAACAGCAAGAGTGCTGAGAATTGCCACAGCTTCAGTTTTAAGTCTCTGCCAAAGAGTCTGGAAGGATCCTCCTGTTAATCCTCACTGGTCTCACTGCCAAATGCAGCTGCATCCAAAGACCTCCTCAAGGCTCAGCATGGCTTGGACCTTCCCTGTGAAGGGCCCTGCTGTCACCTGTCCTAGGCAGAGCAGGATGGGGAAGTTTTGCATGCCACCACTGAGCCCAGCATGGCGCACAGTGCACCAACATCTCCCTGCAAGGACTGCAGCACTGCCTGCTGCCTTCAATGACAGCACACTGCAGCAGCCCTCAGCACAGCTTGAAATCATGGGTACCCAGCCCCTGTTCACATCTGCAGCCTGCTGTGAACGTCAGTGATTTGACCATGCCAGGGATGCAGACTGGTATGCACCATGCACATCACGCAGAGTGGCTGGGGGTCGCACCCTCCCCGTGGTGCAACACTGCAACTGCTGTGCTGTGAGAAGGGCTGGAGGCAACAGTGAAGAATCAACAGGCAGCAAACACTCGGTGGCTAGCTGGTAACAGGCGTTGGAAAGAATCATCAATTTCCCCCCACTTGAAACATGGCTCTCACTGCTCTCCAAATGAACGAGGCTGCTCCTATGGTTAATGCAAGCCCTGCCCTAAGTGCCTCCAGCAGCAGTCAGCACTCACGAAAGGCTGTGAGTTTAAACGTGTTTTTTTTAGCCTAAGTGCTCCCATTATTGCCAGAGCTTTGTTGTTCTTGGAGCTTTGGCAGGAGCAAGGGCATCTTTCCAAAACCTCTTCATGAATATTGAAACGTTTCTGTCAAAAGGTTTTAATTAGGTTATGAATCCCAGAAAGAGTCCCAGCAATTTGCTGGTGCTGAATATGCCAGTGTTGATATTAGCAGAGTAAAGCAATGCTTGGAGGCAGAAACACAAATGCAAAAGGCAAAGACTTTTGGCCACAGCATGGCTGCACAGTGAGCCAGGGACTGTGGGGTCACAAATCCAGGGCCATCCTGCCTCTGCCCCAGGGAAGCCACTCAGGAGAATGCACACCTGGGAGAAACAAGCCATGAACCTGGCTCTGCAAAATGCTGAGCCCCATGTCCCCAGCATCCTCTTCCCTGCCCAGCTCTGCAAGCCTGGGTTGCAGCACAGTGAGAGCCCCTGATTTCCTCCTGCTGCTGCACTAACTAAAGCAGTGCACTCGGGAGATCTCTCTTCGTTTATCAGAAGGTGGCTAAAAGGGAAAAAACGAGGTTAAACCACAGTTGTGAAGCAAACCCCCAGGGTTGAAGCTTTATTCATTCCTATGGCCTGTTCAGTGCGATTTAAAGGAAAACACTTTACACTGTAGATTGCATAACCCTCCCCTTGGCAGCTCTTCGGTGGAAATAAGGCAAAAACTAATAGAATAGGATGGGTTTGCAAGACAATGATAAGCTAAGTACCAGAGCTGCCACTGCTTAGGCTAGTTATGGAGCAGCACCTGGCTTTTGTAAGAAGTGTTCCCAAGACACACCAAGTGTGAACTGGGAATAGAAATTCTCACATGGCAAAAAGAGTGAAGTTTGGGATTTCTTGTTAATTCAGAAGATTTCAAAGATTCCTCTTGAATTTTTTCCCTCCAGTGCTTTTGTGAGGAAGCAAAGCCTGACTTGCAAAAACCTCGAAGGCATCACTCAGGCTTTGGACCTGCCTGTGCACCCCCTGAGGAGACGAGCCCTTGCCCAGACCCCAGCTGGTGCATGGGAGCCCAGTGGTGGCAGGAACGTGGCAGCTCCCAGCTCCCTGATGCCTCCACCACCTCCACTCGGGCTCATGGGCTGCTCCAGCCCTGCTGGAAACACCATGGGCTCTTCTCTTGCTCTTGATAAGATATGGAAAAGGCTCCGGAAACCAGCTATTTCTTTTTACACTCTCTCTCCTCAGTAAATATTTTGAGGAATGCTGCAAGCTGGATGAGGCTCAGCTGGAAGCAGCAGACCCACCCCAAGTTCAGAAACACGCTTCCTGGGCCAGCAGCGCACATTTGGCTGCCTAAGATGAAGAAACATGCAGAGGGAGGAGACACCCAGCCTCATCATCCTTCATGGATGGCCATGAAGTCACCTCAGCAGCACAAGGGAAGCTCCTGGCTCTTTCTCCTCATCCTTCCCAGCTGCAAACCCCAATTGCCCAGAACCCAGAGCATACCTGGATCCACACAGGTTCCACAGTGGGCCCTGGAGAGGTGAGGTTCTCCCAGTTTCCCGTCCTCTCATAGGTGAAAGTGGTCCCTGCCACCCTGTAATCCCCGTTCCACTGGATGGTCCAGCCACCGTTCAGGAAATACTTCTCTGGGTCTTCACTCCTCAGCGCCAGAAAATTTCCAGCTTCTGCGACTTCTTCAATCCGGATCTCTCGGGCTCCGACAGGGATAATCCCAATATCAACATAACCTGTGAATGCAATCGAGCATTTGCTCCAGGGAGTCAAGGACATGATCAGCTCCCTAGGGTGTGGAGACAGTGCCACAGACATTTGTTTTGAGGTCATTAGACACAAAGAGCAGTAAAGGAATATTTTTCTTGCAAGAGGCAAGAAATGGAAAGACAACTCTTCATCTCCTTTGTTACTTCTTAGACCTTATAAAAATCAACAAGTCTGGACTAATAAAAGACTGCAAATGAGCAGCATGAGTGAGTCAACCAATTAGTGCCACTCTAACTGAACAGGCAGAAATGAAACCCCGTGTCTCCTGGTTTCCCACACAGCACTTTCCAGCCTGGAGCAGCAATGGCTCTTGCAGAGTCATCCCCCTCCTCTGAGTGCTGCGTCCCACAAAGTCCCTGCAGCCATGGGATCCATGGGGTCTTGTCTGCAAAACACCTTCACCCTGCTCTGCTGATCAAGGAAAAATGAGTTCTGCAGATCAGGGCGGCTTATTTTAAGGAAGCCATTTAAAACAACTCATTTTTCTCCTCCCCAGCAGCTGGAAGCTGTTCTGCTCACCCCACCACTTCGCAACAAAATGTTTGGTGCCTGGGGAAGCTGCAGCTACTGACAGCCAGGAGCACGCTGCTCATCCTTCTCAGTTAGGTGTGTCTTGCCTTAAGGAGAATGCCACGTGTCCTTACCCAGTCCCTCGCTGTCCTCAAATGTCTTCTTAACAGTGTGGCAGGTGGAGCCATCCCCGTGGCAGACACCGCACCGATCTTCCACTGCGTTGGAGTCGATCTCATAGTCACAGCCCACGTTCTGTAACACAGCCCCATCAGCCCAGGCCTCGTGCCTGCACCCATTTACACCCACCCAGGATTTCAGTATGACACAAGCAGTCAAAAGTGGAAAACAACCACAGTAATGAGGGCCACCCTCAGTGGACAGATGATGCTCCTGAATGGCAAGAAATAAGAACCACAGATAGAAGATTGGTGTGAGCTGGAGTCTTTTTGCAGGATGGATGGTGATGCATCCCAGTCAGCTGTTAAAAAGGGTTTCTTGCCTGCAGCCTGGCCATCCTAGACCACTATGAAAAGTCAGATCCACATCTTGCTGTCAGCTTTCCCTGCCTTGTTCTGCAGCCTGTGCCTAGCCAGGCAAGCCTCTTGGTCCTTGGCCCTGCCAGTCTGGGGCAAGGACCTCCCCAAAACCTTTCCTAAATTCTGCTGGAGCTCTCCACACTTCAGACCCAGGCAGCTGCCAAATCACTTGACCAAACTGCGATTCCATCTGACACTGTACAATAAAAGCTGCAGCCAACTCCCCAGAGGTCCCACTGGGTCCTGTGCCAATGAGGAACCTTTAGTCTTAGCTCCACAAGGACTTATCCAGGAGTCACTTGCATATACATGCTAGAAAAGGAGCACTATTTTTGCTACTGCAATGTTTTGTTGAAAGCCAGGCTTAACTCTGGTGACGGAGCCAGCAACAGGCTTGCAGTCAGCAAGCATTTCATGTGTGCAATCATCTTTTAGGGAATATGCTGTCATCTGTGGAGAACTGCTGGATCTCTTTTCTATGTGCCAAGTAAAAACCATGACCTGAGCTCCCTGAGCCTGTGCATGTGCGCTGCAACCTCTGAAGTAACTTATAGCCTATTAAAGGAGGAAACAGGACCTTCTCAGAGCTTCCTGCTGTGCAGAGCAATTGCCACTGGCCTATACCTGGTAATGCCAGCAGCACAGCCAGGAAGAGAAGAAGCTTCCACAAATGGCTCTTCTGCAAGAGGATGCAAGGAAACTTGATTACTGATTATTTTTGCTTGCTTCTCTTTGTGCTGTTCAGAGCACTCAGCAGCCCTCAGAGCTCCATGGAAGAGGCAGGGAGATGAGCATTCTGCTCCCTGGTCCTTCTGGTTCTTTGCATGGAAGGTGCTCTCCCTGGCCCACAGCTCATTTATACAGAGCTTCCAAGAAATAACAACAGCCCAGGAGGAAGGACAAACCCCAACAACGGGAGAGGGTGCCACAGTTGGGGGAGACATCTCCATTGCAGCAGGCTGTGGGTCAGAGCAGCATCTGCCAGAACAGCAGGGCTGGGATAAGTGCCCTCTCCACCTTCCCTTCCTATCTTTTTATCTTGCCTCATTTGCAAGTGAAACTGCTCTTCCTGCATTTCCTTAGTTTGGTTCTCTACTTCCTTGAAAACATGCAAGAGGCTTAAACACTCCCGCATCATCTATCTTGTGAATATTGAGAGCTCTCCCTCATTTCCATACACAAAAACAGTACTAAAATGGATCAGGTGATACGTTTAGGACATCGGGCAGAGCCTTGACAACTGCCCCTGCCCCAGCCTGCAGCTGCTGGCACACAGGGCCGCTCCCAGCCCGCCCTCATCAGCAGACGTACCTTGCAGATGCCATTGATGCACATGTCTCGGCTGGAGTTCATTTCATAGCACGGGGTCCCATCGATGACGGCATCCCTCAGCTTTTCTGCAAAGTATTCGTCCTCCGGCCGGCAGTGCAGCTCACAGGGGTTAACTGGGAAGCCAAAGAGACAGAAACTGAACCCCAGGAGCTGCAGTGTGCACGCCTACATTCGCCTGCTTTTCTGCAGCAGTGTTGCCCTGGGCTCACACAGGCAGGGATCACCTTCTCTCTTTGTAACCACCTCCGACAACAGAAATTAATCCTGCAAACCCAGCCATAATTTAAAATACACATAAATACGCTGCAAGTGCAGCAGAAAGGGAAGGCAAAACTTTTACAGGCAGCTCCAGCAAGATCAAGGCATTGCAAGAATCTGTCTCAGGCTCTCTGTGAGGGCTGAGGGGAGGCCTGGCTGCAGGCTGTGCACACTCACTGTTGTTAGGCACCGGTGTCCACTTGTAAAGCTTCCCCTTGTAAAGCATGGGGTTGAACTGGCTGCACTGGACCTGGCGGAAGGACGGCTTGTTGGGAGGACAGGGCTTGATGTTGCAGATCCGGAATCGTTTCCGTTCTCCCAGGCAGTACCTGCCCCCATACTTTGGCCTGTTTGCAGGAGGGAAAAAAGAAAATAAACACATAGAGCCTAGGTGGGGAAACTCCCTTCTAATAGTAACAAACCCTAACCTACAGAGCAAACTTCTGCAATGCACAGAGAGCATCATCCACGTCCTTGCTCCTCAGTTTCCTTCTGGACAGAGGACACAAGCTCTGCACAAAGGCCTTGGACATTGCAGCAAAGATATGGCTGCAATGCACAACAAAGATATGGTGACAGCAGCTCCCCAGGTGGTGGAGGATGACAGAATTCCAAGCACAGATGGCTTTGGTCCAGCTGCTGTTTTATTTTTTTCATTTCTCTTCTCCTGGACAAGGAGAGGTGCCTAACACAGTCTGAGTTTGCTTCTGACCAGATTTGCTTTCTTGCTCTCAGCCATTAGCACAGCATTGCAGTGGTCAGGCTAAGGCACTGCAAGAAGGGGGTTTGGATTTGTTGCTACCAGGGCACCCATTTGTTTCAGAAAGGATCAACCCAAGTGAAAAGAAAGATGTGAAGCAGTCATTTTTGCAGATCTCTTGTGAAGGTGCTGGAGGTCCACAGCTCCTCTAGCATCTTGTCCCTCCTGACAGTGCTTCCTTAATGCTGCAACTATGGCCAACTCTACAGGCCTGGTTCATGAACCTATAAAAACTGGTGTGACAAGTAGCGTTCGTGTCCAAAGCCATTTTGCTGCTGGACACTCCTACGCTCTGCGCAATGGAACAAGCACTGCTCCTACTCTGCTTGCCCACGGTGTGAAAGCAACCGCTTTGGGAGATGAAACGGGCTGGACCCTTCCCCGGGGCCTTAAAGCATCACTTTCAACTCTAAAATCACATGACTTGGAAGGCATTGCTTAGCTAGCCCAGCTGCTTTTATTCTCTCCAAAAGCATCCCTGCGAAGTACCTCTTACGCACAAGAACCAGCTTTCCACTACCAGACTTGGTTTTTCTTTTGAGTGAGATGCAGCTGTTTTAAGGTAGCACCTGAAAGGCTTCTGCTGGGGGGATGCTCTGATGGTGCTTTTCAAACACATCTCCAAACTACCTTCCAGATGTCCTCTCCCTTTCTTCGCCACCTCCCAGCTAATCTCGGTCTCATCTGGAAGAACTGCAACTCAGACTGATTGTGACTTGGTTGGTGATCCAAGCAGGGACGCCAGGGCTGAATGGCCAACAAGACAGAGCTCCTGATCAAATGGCAAGTGGCCACAGTTCCAGGACTTCTGACAACCCCCTCTGGCCCACTCAGTCTTGCTTCCTGTGCTGGATGACCTGGATGTTTCTACAGCGTAATGCAACCCAGCAAGAACTGGGGGACTTGTGGATGGGTCTAAGATGAATTCTTGCCCAGAATGAAGAAATCTCATAAGGCATCTCTTGAGAGGAAACACATTTCTTCAGGCTTTAGATTTTTCATGCTGGTGATTCCTAAATGACAGAAACAGCCAGAAACACTGTATACACAAGGTGATAAATTCTTACTTACTTTGGAAAGTAGTTTTAAAAATACATCATTCTTTCCAACGTTTATAAAGTGAGAGGGACTTAAAAAGCAACAACAGACTTTTCTTGGATGCCAACAGACTCTCAAGATACTGCCACTGATTCTTAACACTTGCTGTTTCACCAGGTTGCTGCCAGGTTGTTTTGGTCACTTGCAGTTTCTGCATCCCACATCCCCATGACCTTATGAGAACTTTTTCCCTGATTAGTTTAGAGTGGCACAAGGAGCGTAATTAATTATTATTTTACAGTTGTATTTACACACCTTTCTCTTAGGAAACGCCTGAGGGAGGAAGGACCAGAGCACACATTTGTTCACTTCATCCAAAAGGCAAAGCTGAAGATTTACCTACCGTGGCCAAAGCAAACAACTGCCCAGGGAAATTCTGCTGCTTTTACAATGTTTGCTCTCCAAGATGCCTGCAGCTGTGTTTGGAACACTCCATAAACTACAATTGCATTTCTGTCACAAAACTCATGTCAAACACAAACCTAGCTCTTGACCTAGCACTGAGATTACACAGCTATTCTTTAAACAGTTCAATAGTATGTGTTAAAAACAATGCACCCAAAGAAGTTAGGCAGAAAGAACATCTGGGCTCATTAGAGAGATTCCCTCTTAGTTTTCAAATCTTCTAAAGCCATTGAAAAATGACTGCCACTGGAAAATTGCTCACAAAGCCCCTTTCTCTCCCTGTTACGAGGCACTGTGACACTTGGACGAGTTGGGGGCCTTTGTGTGAATCCAATACAATAGCAATTGGGCAAGGAGGGAGGCATCTGGAGGACAGATGGGTCAGCACAGCGGTCACGGCATGGATAATGCTGCTCTTCGGTTGGGGAGCAGTGAGCGTCCCCCACTATGGCAGCTCATTCAGCTTGCTTAGAAATCACTCTCAGGGAGAAAACAGTTGATAAGCAGCAGTGAGTGTTTTCAAAATGAGAGTGAGTCAGAACCACAAAAAGTCTATTTTTCTTTTTGGTCATTAAAAGACACCAGATATGTGTAACAGCTACAAGCGTGGAGTCTTTACTCTTTGTTGAAATCACATTCCAGTGCTCTCTGTCTGCCTGGCGCAGCAGCAGTTGTGCATGGAAGCAGACGGAGCCAGCTCTGCCCCTCCAGAGCCTGCCATCACCCAGATAGCTGGATAACCCCATGAAATGAATCGTCTGTGGTGTTTCAAAGGCATCTTGTTCAGAAAGATAACGGCATAATGGCAGCAGTCCCCTGCTGTCCAGTGCAGACATGGGTAGGACCAGACATGCCAGGCGATGGCCCCTGCTTTAGGGAGCCACCAGGAAGCCTTGGGCTCCTCTCCTACACACACTGGCTGAACAAACCCAGGAGAGCACACATGCACTTACGTGGGGTTGCTGCACTGCCTCTCGGCGCTCTGCACACCCGCACCGCAGCTCCTCGAGCAGGCAGCCCATGAGCTCCAGGGCCCCCAGCTGCCATTGATAGCATCAGGACGGTAACCCACGGGCACGCACTCACCATTGAAGCACCACTGCAAAGGGACAGGCCAGAAGAAGAGAAACCAAGATAAAGATGCACTAATAAACACCTACTTAGAGAGCTCTACCTTCAGGGAGCACTAAAGACCAGCGCTCATATTGCCCTGTGCAAACCCATGCTACACTCACTCCAGGGTGACTGGAGGTCAGCTGAGCTCTGATGGAGCCAAGTTCAGCTCTGTGCAATGAGAAATTCGGGTATATAAGGCTGTCTGAGGACTTGTGTGAGGGAACAGACCCCTGGACACGACCCTCCAAGCTTCTGCTTCCATTCAAACTGCAGGTTTCATCTTTTTAGGGACATCCTGATTTCCCTGAATTCAATCTCTCACCACCATTTGGCTGGAGTGAGGCCATCAAGGTGATCCATGTCCACGTGCTGGAGTTTGCAAATTGCCAGGTTTAGCACTTCGCCAGCAAAAATCATCTCTTACATACAGGATAAAGAATCTCTACACCTGCAAATGAGACTGCTCCCTCTTACCTTGTTCTCCCCACATGCTGTCCCATCAACAGCAGCATCCAGCTTGGAATGGCACGTAGTCCCCACTGTGCACCACAGTGTGTTGCAGACACTCTGCAGAAGAAACATTTACCACACAGGACGCGGTTACTGCAGAGCCAACCCACTGGTAGAGATTTTACTCACAGGGAGAGGATCGTCCCATGCAAAGCCCCCACTCCCCCAAAGAACCCTCAGAGCTGTATGAGTCCATGCTACGTTGGGAGGGGGGACTCTGGCTTACATCCATGTCATCACAGAAGGTGGAGTAGGCACCATACTGCAGGCGGCACTGGTGGCTCACATCATAGAGGACGCCCGGAGGCACCAGGGGGAAGTCCAGCACCTCCTGAGCAGGGGGGTCATCCAGGCACAGCCCCCAGCCCCGGCTGAAAGAGAGGTGACAAGGCAGTGTCACTGCCCGGCCGGTGCAGGCAGGTCCCATGCACCCTGCTGCAGCTGCCACCAGAGGAACCAAGCATCTCATCAGTGTTTCATCCCGAAATCCTGACTTTCATTCTACAGCTGACATGACCGTGGCTCTCCAACAAACCCTGCACCTGCTCCAGCATGTGGGTCTCTGCATGCACTTATCCAATTTCTGAGTTGGGCGATCTGATGTCTGCAACTGCAGCCCACCTATCCTCTGACACTCCAACACATCCTGGAACTCCATGACGAACAGCCAAATTGTTGCTTTGCCTAGGACCAATCTCCTGGGTTTTAGCTTTGCAATCAAGTCATCAGCAAAGCCTTCAGCCCAGGGTCCAGTCCTCAGTTTCACTACTCAAGGTGAAGGGTTTCACTGAACAAACACTGCACTGCTGAGAAGCAGATGTTGTCCTTGCGTTCATACACCAGGCCAACCCCAAAACGTCCCTGTGGACACTTCAGCTCTAGTGTCAATGCCCTGCTAATAAAAACAGAGTAGATGTCAGCAGCAAAACTCACTCGCTCTCATATCTGCTGCTACAAACAGTGCTCAGACTGTGCTGGACAGCATGTTTTTAGAAAGAGATATTAAAACTGAGCATGAAGCTCAGCCAAGACAACCCGTGGCCCACTGCCAGGCTGCTGGGAAGCCAAGATGGATGATCCTGGCTGGCTTGCTCTGCTGTGAGTGGTTTTGCTATGATACTTCCCAAACACACAAGAAATTGTCACTAGTTTAGCTTACAGTGTTGATTTAAACTAACGCGTTTCCAGCAAAGCAAAGTCTCCAGCGTGGGTTTCTGAGCAGATTAGATTACTGCAGCTTGTTGTGATTGGGAACAGGTCTAAATTAATGTGGAACAGGATTCCTTCCTAACCCAAGCTGGCAAAACAGCCCAGCTCAGGAGCAGCAGTGAATGGGGCTGGGAGTCACAGCAAGCACCCCTCTCACATCCTGCATTGGAGAGGTCCTCTCCAGGCACCTGCCAGCCCCGTGCTTGGCTAGAAACAGCCAGTGGGAGCACAGCTCCTTAATATACCACATATATAGTTTTTATAAGCAATTTCCCCATTGAAAAAAATCAGTAAACACATTGCTTTCAGCAGCCCATGAGCTGGAAAGTCTCACTTTCCAAGTCCAGCAGTGAGAGCATCCTGCCTTCCCTCTGGCCCCCTGGAGAGGAGGACTGCTGTGGGGGATTCAGGCCTGAGCTGGGCTGAATTAGGTGTGAATTATGCAGCTGGATGCAGTACCATGTCCAGCCTCAAGCTATAAGCCTGTTTCAGGCCTACAGCAAAGTCGCTGCACTGCAACTCCAGTGGATTTTCTTTGCACACTGACAGAATTCACTTAAGAAGCATATGTTGTCTAAAATTAGAAATGATTACATCTTTGCTGGGAAAGTCAAAGCTTAAGCACTGGACTCCTGCTCTAGCTGCATGAATGGAAGTGCTACTCCTTTGGATTAACCCACAATCATCTATTCTGGCAACAGCATATGGGGCCTGACACCACCCCAAAAATGCCCAGGGCCCTCTGTTCTGCTGAAGGCACTTTTTGTCTTGCCTCAGTTTACAGGAGATCTCTGCAGTCCCCATATGGGATAGTTTAGATCTCTAGAGTTATGCTCAAAATCTATTTCTTCATCAACCACTTTACAGCTGTCCTACTGATATCTTCAACTGGTCTCCAGATTTTGCAAAATAAACTTAACTGAGCCAGCAAGAGTTGGCATGAGTTTAATCTGGCTTTGAAGGGATGTACAGTGACCCACACAGCAGTAAAAATTCACAGGGGTCTGCTTTGCATTTGCCTATTTCAGTCTGTTCATTAAAGAGCTGCGTGACGGAATAGATGGATGTTGATTAGATCCCCATACGCCAGTGGGCTGGGAGTATCTGCAAATACGCTCGCAAGCAGGATTAAAATTCCAAAAGCTCTTGCAGAACTGGAAGAAGGATCCAAAAAAACAGGACTGAATTCAATAAAAACAAAGGCAAGGATTTAAACTTGGGAGGAATCAGCTGCACAAACAGGGGAGTTGGAATGACTGGAGAAGAGCATTGCTGTAGAAGAGCTGGTGCTAGTGGCTGAGCAGGGGCAGTAGTGGGTGCTGCAGGAGCAGACCAGCCAGGCTTCAAGTGGTGGGGGTCAGCTAGAAAGAGCCCATGACAAGGTGATGGAGGAAGACCTTCAGCTCTGCAAAAACAGGCTGAAAAATGAATTGTCTTGTCTAGAGAAGGAAAGACTGAAGGGAAACATGACAATCAGCAGCAGTGGGATGAAGGCAGGCTTATCCACACCACGGCATATTCATGGTCCTTGCAGAGCATTATGAGATACATAATTCTTCCACCAGCCAGGCTTAAAAGAGCTCACATCAAAGTGAGGGATGCAGAGAAGAGAGGCCCTTCAGCTTCTTCCCACCCAAAGCCGCTGCCTCGAAGATCACAGAGCCCTGTGCATGACCACAGCACTGGAGCTGTGCTGCCATCAGAGACACAAATCATTTTCTGATTCTTAAACGCTCACCAGTGTTCACTGTTTTGTAAAACAATGACCATAATCTGAGAGTGTTGTGTTGGTTTTTTTTTGACATGAGTCTGTTCCAAGCACATCTAGCAATCCCAGGTCAGGAGGCTCTCATTTTTTGGCTCATTCCTTCCCATTCTCCTGCCAACACTGTATTAAAATGCACTCATGTCCGTGCTCGCAGCAGGCCTCTCCTTCGCCTCTGGGATGTCACAGATGCTGAGAGGTGCCTGCTGAACTCTGCTCCACTCCTCAAGAAAGAGCTGCCCCTTCTGGGAGTGGAGCAAAGAGATGAAAACACCACTGGACAGGCAGCCAGATGGTCTGCTTCTTCCCTGGGCTAATGGCAGCCCAAGGTTACCGCCAGCAGGAAATGCTACATCTCAAAACAAAGGTTAAAAACAAAAGGCCAAGAGCTCCGTGGAGCAAGAAAGACTCATTCCGCTGAAAGCCACAAATCAACAGTAATTCACTCTAGCTGGAGCCAAGCCCATGTTTTAGGCCACTGGCTGGAATTTAGAAATGGGAGCTCAGCACCACCCAGTATTCCTAATATGCAGCTCCCAGCCCCTCACAAACACACTGGCTGTAGCCAGAGCTTTTCTATTGCTGTTTCTTAAAGATGCTCTCACTGTTTCCTAATCTTCTCGTGGCAAGAAAGGAAAACATCCCTCTGGTGCTAGAGACTGGCTGACAAATGTAAGTCTTGGGCCACGTTCCTAAGAATTTAATAACAACAGCCACAGGGCACTAAAAATAAACAAATGCATGAAAGAATGTGGCTTGATGTCATCTCCTCACATGGTGCCTCCCATCTCTAGGCAAACATCACGTTTGCCCCAGGCAGAACCTTGCTGCTAGGAGGAGTGGAAAGCAAGATCAGGGGTGCAGTAAGAGGTACAAATCCCATGTGCTATGGAAAATTGCTCCTTCTGCTCAGCAGCCTGGACGCAGTAATGTGCTTCCAACTGCACACTTATCTGTTAGGCTGGTGCAAGCAACACGTGGCTGACAATGTGGCAGAAAGGAGCACAGCCAGCTCCAGCATTCTGCTGCTGGGGCAACCATGCTTTGGAAATCCCACCAGCTAAGTCAATGAAGAAAAATGCTCTGGCTTTATTTATTCAAACAACAACCACTGTGTCACCCTGCACAAAGGTGCTTTTGCATTCCAATACAGCAAGGACCGAGCCAACTGAGCAAGTTAGAAATACCATCGAGTCAAGGGTGACTTCTGAGGCCAGAAAGTATTTTGCAGACCCCAAAGCTCAACCCAGCCACAACTCATGCAGCCAGCTCAGCCCCGAGCACCGATGCAAACGAATGAGAAGCAGCAGCAAGGACTTACTCGAGGAACCGTGTGATGTACTCCCGGCTGCAGCGGGACCAGGTGAGCGGGGACGTGTCATACAGGAGCTGTGGAGACATGATGAAAGGTCTTTTCCCAACTGGCTCACAGTCATTGCTGCTTCCATCATGCTGAATCCCAAAACTGTGTAAGAGCACAGTCCCACAAAGGAGAGGTGAGCCACACGCCTGCTACAACCGCGCAGCTTCTCTGCTTTCTGACACACTATACCAGACACTACAAGCATTTGCAACTTTATGGAGACACATTAATTAACAGGGAGCACTTAGCTATCTGGGAAATTCCAGTGGGACCACAGATGCTGTCACAAGCTTTGTCCCATATGTTACGGACAAGGAGAGCCAGACATCCTCTCAGCATGCATCTTGCAAGGGCTCAGGTGGGATTCTGTTGCTCCACAGGTAAGAGAACCCCATGCCCTTGGTGAGCTCCCATGCCCAGCAGTGGCAAACAAGAGGCCACTCAGTAAGCTGAGAAACATGGCTGTGCTCAGGGCTCTGTCCAGTCCCTGTGGCTGCAACACTACGTGCAGGGAACATAAGCCAGCAGGGGAACAGCCCCACGAGCTTATGTCTCCTTGCCCTGGAGTAAACAAATGACTTTTTGTCACTACTTTGAAGTGACAAAGCCAATGGACTGTGCTTCATACAGAGAGCATGGAGGTTAGCATTTAACTGAAAAGATCTATGAATTCAAAACTTAATGTGTAATCATTACATGAAATTTTTCCCATTGTACAAACTTTATGCTGGAGTTTTACTTCAGCTCTCTTACTGGCAACTCAGCCAATAACAAAGTAATGAGAATATTGAACAAAATCAGTTTAATTAAACTGGCTGGTTACAGACTTTTACTGTAGAAAGATACAGACTATGTTGTACAAATGATTTTCTCAAGTTCAGCTGAAATCAAGATCAGAAAAATCCTGTCTCTGATGCCATACATAGACTCTATTTTAAAACCTCTCAGTGAACAATCCTCTCCTCAACAGCTTTTAGTATCAGCAACATGGGTACACAAACGTGTCATTTGTGAAGGGTTCCTTGAATCCAGCTCAACCAAAAGCCGAACTCTGAAACAGCTTCTCAGGGTACATTCCCTGAGATTCAGGGAACTCTCAGCAACGTCCTTCCACCTCTTATCTGTCCCTTGTCAGGTCCTGACTAAGCCATACAGAGGACGGGGTCAGAAAGGAGAAGGAAGGCAGGGTACCTGTGTCCAAGCTCGTGGGCCACAGTGAAGGCCAGGGGCAGCCCTGTGTCCTCATTGATGTTGCAGCTCCTGTGGGGCTGGCACATCCCCGCCACGTGGGACAGACCCAGGGTCTCACAGGGTCTGTTCATTGCTGCGCAGATGTCCTTCCTTGGGCGATTGAAAACAACACACACAGTAAAAAGAGGGTTGAAGACAGTAAGATCCAAAGGGTGATGTGAAACTGAGTGAGGACAGCTGCCTCAAAGCAAGCCCCTCCTGCCCCGTGGTCCCAGCCTAACAGGAAGCCTCTAAGGCCAGCAAACACTGGCCAAACAGAAGCAAGAATGGAGACATCCAAATGTCTTTCCACACAGAAAGATTTATGACTCTTCCTTTCCCCTTTACTCTTTCAATATCCCCAGCTTATTAGAAAGCCTGATTAATGGAAACTGCAAGCCAGACTGGCTACGTTTATTCTATTGTATAAATAAAGTTGATGCTGGGAATAATTAAGCAATTACTACATTTCTTGGGGAAGTACATTGCAGTGGTGTTGTGGTCTAGGGCAGGGGAGCTCCAGCCACCCAGGAAGAACAACTCCATTAAAGTACGTGCCCTTAAGTGCCTTATTTCTACTACAAAGCAAATTTTCTAAGGAAGATAAAACTGTTGTGGGTTGTGAATCACTGCACAAACAACCACGATACTGCCAACATTCAAGCTGCTGCACCATGAAACCATCAAACCACATTCTGACTGCAAGGTATATAAATTTGGCCAGAGACAAGAATTCCACCCAGCTACACGGGAGGTGAGGGCCTGCTCTGAGCCTCCTTTACAAATCCTGGAATTCATCTACAAGAGAAAATGGAGAGCTAATCCTGTGTACATCTGCTGCAAGGACACACCCATTCTAGGGCTTCCCAATAGGGCCACAGTGAAAATCTGGTTTGGAAACTCCAACTACTGGTAAACTCAGAGCAGTTTCCAGGTTTAAAACTGAGGTCTGACATCAGTTCCAGCCACTAGAGCCAGACCACTTTCAGATTTCAAGTTATATATTGAATATGCAGGCTTCCAAACAGGGCTGAGGTACAGAGAGTGAGATTTAAACAGCTTCCACTAAAATACGCAGCTAGCTGCCTGTGTCCCACCTGCCTGCTGCCACAGGAGGAGTTTCTAGGTGGTGGAGTAAAACCTACAGCATAAAACCAGGACACGATACCTTGTGAGCAGGACTGCAACATCATGATGCAAGGGATGGGAATCTCCTTTCACATTAATGCTCTTCTGCCATTTGCAAAAGCTTTTCAAGGTGTTGTCTGCATGGTGGGAGATTTTCAGATCCTCCTGCCAACACAATTAAAAGTCAGTTGTCATACCGTTACTGGATCTGTTTGGTTTTTAGGATGCAGTGCAGAGGATCTGATCTCTGTCCCATCAGAGTAAGATCAGGAGTAACTGCCATCTAGATGGAATTGCTCTGCGTTTTGGAAGCCGTAGGCTGGATGAGAATATAGTCGTTTGTTTCCATCAATGATTCAACTGAACCATGAAGTCATCTGATATCAGGGGTTAAGAAACGCTGCAGGAAAATACTCCATCCAGGGCGATGTGCTTTAGAGAAGGATGCAGCTGCACAGCCAGACTGAGCAGCGACTGCTGCAGCTGGGAAACACAAACAACCACCAACTCCCAGCTTCCGCTGGTGCTACCAGCAGGCAATGCTCCTGGGACGCCGCGAGCGTCAGCTGCTCAGCCTCTGCCGGGCCATTCCTTGCAGCTCCAACCTGGAGCCTCGCCTGCCCCATGTCTGAAGGGATGCTGCCACAGGCTGAGTGCCAGTGGTACCGGGTACCATCCCATCAGTCACAGGACGAAAGGAAAGGTACTTCCAACTACCACAGTGGCTAAATTACAAATTGTTCTAAGAATCATGATCCGCAGCTCCTCTGACATATAACCCTCCCAACTTTACCAGACCTGCAGCCCATGCAGAAGACTAGGAAGTAAAGCATGGGAATCTGTGTTAATCTCACACAATCCATCCATGGAAAATGTGTATGAGAGAGTTTACAGGCTTTCATGGCCAGCTCTCTGTGTATCCCAATTTGCTACCAGAATGGAAGTGTGAGTCATTTTGTTTTCTTTTCACCTCTTCATTCTCCAGCAGGATGAGTCGCACTATAGCAATGTTGATGGGGTTCCCAATGCTGGCGTGGTGGAACAGCCCCGCCACCTGCAAAGCACAAAAGTCAACTAAATAAAGCCCAAAACAAACATCTTGCCCCGTGACAGTTCTCCTGGTAAGTACATTTGCAAGGCAACATGAGCTTAAGGGGAAGCTACTGAAGGTTGTCGACAACATCTCAACATGTTGGGGAATTCCCAAAACTAAAAGATAAGACCAGATGTAGACCCAGATTAAAGCATTCATAATACAATGGAAACTGATATAATCTATGTAGCACACTGAAACTCAACCAGAAATGCCTGGGGGACCACCTCCACTTTCACTCCCTAACAGACGTGTTGAACGCCTCAAAGCCAGCGCTCTGCCAGTGTCTTCACCAACACCGGGAAATCCAGGATGCTACCCTGAGGTCCTCTACCCAATCCCACCCTCTCTTACAGCCATCAACTACACCTCTTCTGAAATGCAAACAGATGCTACCACAACAGCTGGAGAGCAAACAGATTATACCAACTCACATTGACTTATCTGCCTGTCTTATGGCTTTAGCAAAACCTCCCTGGATTTTCAAGACCACCAGGAGACTTCACACATGACCCTGGATGTGGTCCTGCTCAAGGTGGCCTGGCATGAGCAGGGGCTGGGCCAGGTCACCTCCAGAGGTCCCTTCTCACCTTAAACCAGTCTGATTCTGTGACTCCAGGCAACATTAAGAGTGGTACTCCAGATGTCCAAGGTCAGTTCATTAACACACCATACCACCTCGTTAGGAGTCAATGCCTCCAGAAAAGTCTGAGTTTAAGGAGCAGAATGAAAACCCGAGGAATTTCAATGCAAGTAGTAGTTAGCTTTCAAAACCTGCCTGTAAGTTTTACCTCTAAATACTCCTATGGTTTAGTGCCAGGAAAACAGCTCAGCTACAATCTAGATCTATGCTCTACTCCTTCCCTCGGCTGCCCTCAGTGGCACCTTCCCAGGAAAGCCATTCACATTTCTGCCAACCAGACTAGTGCACTCAGCCATCGCTGGCAGGCTGGCACCGGCTCTGCAGCATTTGGAACTGAGATGAAAAACACGATGGCAGCTGCCCCGCAGCGCTCCCTTTGTGGGTGTCTCTTATTGGCACTGCCAGCACTGAGATCAAGGAAGCCTGAGCCAGAACTCTCACATCCATACAGGTCTTTTCCTGTGAGGTGGCCTCCTTATCAAGCAGGGGGCTGTGGGTGGCCCCAGCACAGGCTTCAGAGTGGTTTCAACTTCAGCTGCACCTCCCCACCCAAGCAGCCTGCTTGCCTGACCAGAGAGAGCAGTGGTGGTGATGATGTGGCCACGGGCAGCATCTGCCCCCTCTCTGTCCTGAAGCAGTAGGTATGGGAGGAGCAGTCCTGCTCTTGCAGTATCTGCCTGGCAGGCCACGTTAACCACCCTCGGTGAGAAAGGAAAGGGAACAGCCTTGAGCCCCACGCAGAAAGTGAAACCAAGGCAGGCTGAGAGCTGCTCCCATCTGCACCAAGACTTTGGCCTAGGGCTCGCTCACAGCAAACCACCCTCCTGAAGCAGATGGAGGACTGAACAATGCAGCAGAGCAAACGTGAGGGTGGGAACAGCCTGTTTGGTGAGAGATTTGCTGAGGTCTCATCAGGAATGAGCTGTGGCAAGCCCAGTATGTCTCATCAGCTGCATCTCCAGGGACCTGGCAGCTCTGCAGCTGAGAAAATTAGGACTCACCATGTTCATCACAGTCAGCACGTACTTCTCGATGTTCTCACTGCCATGGTATTCTATCATCTTGGTGTCTGCCACCACCAGCGTTTCCACCCACTTCTCTTTGCTGATGGAACGCTGCTTTATTCTTCTCTTCCTGTATTGTTTCTGTTCCCATCTTTCCCGCCGCTTCTCAGACTTCTCTAGGCTTTCCTGAGATTCTGAGAAATTAAAGGGAGAAAAAAAGACTCATTTTTGTGCAAAAAATCTGCAGCACTGGTAAAATAACATCAAGATGCCTTTTTTTTTAATTAAACAATCTGTTGGTGTTGATCAAGAGGACTCTCACTCAGACTCATAACTTACTCACATATTCACTGTGCTTTCTGCTCAAAAATTCAGTGAGAGATGAAAACAGTGACTTCACAACACCGTACAGCAGCATTAGCGAGAAAGAAAAAAAATCCTTTGAAGTAAATTCTCGAAGGGAAACAGGGTCTGAAATATTTTGTGAGGAGCATGCAGCCTCCTGGAGCCGAGCACTTGCGTTCTGTACCAACACGTTAATTTATAGGCAAACATGGAGAGAGGCCTGACCATGAACTGTACTGAACAACAGCAGTGGCTCAGCTCTGCTGAGTACAATCAAACATTTTTATTTTGCTGGGAAAGACAGCTCCCCGGCACCATAAACTCCATGCCCTGGAAACTGGATGTCCTGAGCCAAATCCCAAAGATCATCGCTGCCCTGGACGAGACTGAAACACCCGCAGGGCTGCACAGAGATTTCCTTGGCCACATGAAGACTGAATTCTGGGTTTCTGTGCTGCTCATCCCCAGAGAAACAAGGAGGACATTCACTGGGCTCAAAAGACACACGATGCCAGAGGAGAGCTTGGAGGCTGCCAATGCACACCAGAAACTGGGAATTCTCATGTCGAGACTTTTCCTGTGACGCTGCTCCAAGATCAAGGTCAGGGTCAGCCCCAAGTTGGGCAAAGGCTTCACAAACCACATCACACACAGTGGGAAATGCTTTTATGACCAGTTTCTATGGGCTCTGCCTTACTTCATTAACAGTGAACTTTTACATTTTATGGACTATAGTGTTCTTTAGCTGTACTTTGTGCCCCAGCCTGAAAAATCCTAAGTATCTGAATAATTTGATGAATTGCTAATACCACTGTGACAGTTTAATCACAACAGCTTCCTTGGAGTTCCTTTGCTGCTGAGCTTCCATGCGGGACGCAGAGCACGGTGCACACAGCTCCCTGGCTACCTGGCAGGGTCTGTATGGCATTTCCCCTCAAGATCCCTCGCACACTTGCCCAGCTGTACATACAGGCTCACAATACGCAGCACAAGACATCAACAGGAACTGAATACCAGGCTGATCAAACCCCGCCTGGCTGTGTGCGATCATTTGCAAAGAAAACCAGCAATACATCAGTAGATGGTGAAAGACTTGAGGTAATACAAATCCTGTAGACTTTCAGCTCCCTTTCCAGGGCACATAAATCATGTCCACACTGCTGCTCTGGATTCAAATAGAGATTCAGCTATATTACACACTGGCCACACCATACCTAGGGAAATTCATTTACAGAGCAACAGGCTTCAAAGTCTAGAAGGAAGCATTATTACTCTTATCAGTTTATTCATTTTGATTAAAAGAAGAATGCCTGAAGATAACATGATTATTGAATAAAAGGGTTTGGGGAAGCTCTAGGGAGTTGGTAAGACACTGACTGGAAGATGCAACTTCAAATATTCAGACTGGAAAAGTAAAGCATCCCATCTTTCCAATTTCCCTGTCTTGTGTCTGTCTGTCACAGCTGCACACAGATCCGTGCTTCACAGCTCTGAAAGCTGCAGAGATCCTAGCCTACAGCTGCTGGCTTGGCGTGGGAGGCCGGCGCTCCCAGCTGCAGGCACTGCTGAGCTGTGGGGATGCTGCCCCAGCTCTGAGGTGAGTGACTCATCTCATGCTCGAGACCTGCTCCAGACTGTGGGTAGAAATGTACCTTTGCTGTTTCTCTTGACTCCAGGATTTCTTCCTAAGGCAGATACCTGCCTATTACACGATTTTACTGCAGGCAGACATTCAATTCTCAGCTAGGCAGAGTTAAAATAGCTCCAAAATAACAAGGGCAACACAAACCTCAGTGTAGCTGCACCGGCCTTTGGGGATGTGGGTTCATGCTCCAGCAGCTAGGCTGCCCAAAGCACTGATTGTTCTTCACTGAGAACAGCGTCAACCAGTTTATGACTAGCCCTGGGATTTTATCATGGAAAAGACTTCGAACTTCCTTCTCTGAGCCTCATGCTCTCTCCCTCCCAGAGCCAGAACTGCAGCCCCTGATCCTCTGCTTGTGCAATGCAGCCTTTGAGTTCTGCTCCAGCAAAAAATACCCTGCAAGAAGCACAGACTGCTGTACCTTGCAGATCAGCTCTCAGCTCTCAGTGCTGTCCATCTGAGCCACCACTGCTTGCCTTTTCCAGGAAAGGCCAGCCCTCTCCCTGGAGCTCAGGAGGAAAGCAAAGAGATCACTGTCCAACAGAGACCCCACACAAACGCCCTGAGGGAGGGGGGGGTGCAAAAAACTGCTGATTTTCTACCTCTCCAAAAAGCAGCAGGGAGAGCAGCCTTGGCAGCCTTGGACAGCTAGCTCCTTGACACTGGTACAACAGGGTGCTATGGATACAGAAAGCATTTAATCTGCCATAAAATAATTCTGCTGGGCAGAAGGGCCATGGTGACAACCTGGATTCACTGGCGTAAATGGGAATTGTGGTGTTTAGCTCATGGAAATCAAATTTTACTCCAGAAGTCCAAGCTTCTGGCAAGTCACAAACTGATGTTTGCAAGGAATCAAAAACAAATATTCAGTCTCCACATCACAGGATGCTTGCAGCAGGCTTGGGAGGAAAAGATGAATGAGAGGCCTGAGGTTCAGCATGCTTGTGAGAAACATAAGCAAATACAGGAAAATTGGCAGGGGAAAAAAAAAACTGCCGTAATTCCTGTGACTTGTGGGCTCCACACATGAATGTCAGAGAACTTTTGCCTGCTGCTAAGCAAGCAAATTTTCCTGACTTACAATTTGAACCAGTGGTCAGCCTTCCCATAATAAAAACGCTTGTGGAAACCACTGTTTGCCTACACTTTCAGAAATTTGGCCATCCTGCAGCAAGGAACCCAAAGCCAGCTGGCAGACACCTACCAAATGGGCCCAGAACGCCCACCACCCACAGAAACCACCACAAAACCACAGCTCAGCTGCGTCTCAGTGCTCTGAGCATTTCCTTTCCAGACAGAGAAGTGGCAAAGGGAGGGAACCAGCACAGCAACTTCCAAAACTCAGAGCATTCACCTCAGTGTCCTTCAAGCTAAAAGCTGGGTGCTGAGATCGCATCACAGGAGCTGAACACTCCCGGATTTTAAGATAAGCATGTCTGCTGAGCACCTTAGAAGACTAAGGATTGGCACTGATTCCTTTACCTTCTCACTGCGTACTTCAAATTACAGAACCCAAATTATGAATTCTAGGATCTAGCCGTTCATCGTGAGAGGTACGAGAGGAGAAATACCTTGCACACCGCAGGCTGCCCATGCTGCTGGCTGCTTTCTCTCTTGCTCTCCCGGGTGCTCAGGAGCATGGCGTTTGTACACCCTGTGGGGCTGTGCTGCTGCGTCCTCGGGAAAGCTGGCGGCTACTGGTTCAATGAAATAGTCCTCGTCCATGAGCCGAAACACACCTTTCTAGCAGGGAGAGACAGAGATGTAATCATGAAGCTGTCCGCACCTAGTACGAATATCAGGAGGGGAGAGATTTGCAAGATGTTCCAGGCAGAAACATGTCTTCTCTAAAGAGGCTGTTCTTATGGGTATTTTGAGCCGGTGCTGGCCCAGCTGTAACACACTGTTATGGACTCACCTGGGATCGCAGAGCCCCAGACTGCATCTCAGGAACAGTTACACAAACGCACCTGCATTTGCCGAACGAGAAGCTCTTGGATTGGGCAGCTTCATCCCCAGCAACCAGGAGCTCCTGGTCTGGGTTCTGCAGCTGGAGCAGAGATGGCTGCCCCGTTAAGCCTGCCCTGCAAGGGCTGCGTTCTGCCCCACAGAGGTTCTGTGGGAATGCTGAGGGCTCTGCTGTCTGCAGGAAGGTCTGTTTAAAACGCTCTGCTAATCTCACTGCACCTCACGTGCCATGGCCCACCACTGCTCACAACACTGACATCCCTGCTCCTGCCTCCCTGACACTGATGCACAACAGGCTGTAACAAGAGGAGCAGGCAGCAGAAGGTGAAATGTTACACACAGGAGAGCACAACCCAGATTCAGCACTATGCTTCATTTTAGAATCCTTGACAGGAGGAGTCTGAAGTCTTCTAACAGCCTTCTAAGAAAGGTGAAGCCTTACTCAGAAACTGATCTCAAAGGCAGGTACGGTTGTTAAAGAAGGAATAATTATCCCATGCTACATATCTACCAAGTGCTGGACCAGCTGCTGCACAGGGAGGAACAAGGGAGGAACGTGTCCCTTTGAGGCACTATGCGACTTATTTCAACAGGAATTTTGGGACAGCCCATCTGTGCTTTACAGCTCAGAGGCAGAGAGTGCTTCTAACAAAGCAAAGCTGGCCTTGAAATGCAAGATATTGCCACTGTGTACAAATGCAATATGCTTCTGTAGCCTCCAGAACTAGATTGTCCCACACCAGCAATGAGTTCCTTGTTCACACCCTGTAACCCTAGCACAATTACCAGGTGTGTGTGAGTAATTCACTGTAACAGAGCTCAGTGACACACTTTACTTTCTTTGATCGTTATGTCAGACACAAGCACGTTGTCAGTGCATTTTCCTCTGGTTTAGCATCTGACAAAAAGCTCTGGTTATTTTAAGACCAAGCAGGAAAACTCTGAAGCAACTTAAGGCTGAAGTTTTCTCACCACTCAGGTTATTGGCTGCAGGCAGCATTGTGCTGATGCCTTTTGTGAGCTAACAGTTTTTTCTGCTCCTTAACAAATGATACACACCTACAGCATTTATATGATACTGTTCATTTCCAACCCATTTTACAGGCCTTAATTATGTGATTCTCCATCATAAAAAAGGTGTTTCCAGATGACACGTTATGCAGAAAATGAATTACTTAATGAGTATTATTTTTTCTCCCATCCATAGTTCAGTCACAAAGAGATGTTAACCCCGTTAACCAGTTCCTTCAGCACCTTGAAGACAGGAGTTATTACAGACCCAGCTTTTCAGATGGAAAAAACTGCCCAAAGCCATGGAGGAAGTTAATGCACAGGCAGCATTAGAGTAGTATGACTGCAGTACCCAGCTCTGGGCTAAGCTGCTCATCCTTCTCAAGCCCTTTGGCAGGCTTCCTTCAGACCTCAAACCTCACTGGCAGAACCCCAGTTGCTGCACTGACAGTGAAAGTGCAAATAAAATGATCTGACCCCCCAACTCAGTAAGCAATGAAGGCAAGGTGCTGAACACCCTCAGATGCTGTTAAATCTGGTGGGAAAAGAGCAACTTTGACATCTCCCAGGATGCGCACGGCATTTTTCATGACCTTCTTCATGCTATGCTGCCAGAGCCAACTCTTCTGAGCTTTTGGACACACTCAGCATCCCTCCCATGTCCACTCCATCTGCACCATCTACTTCTTGAACTTGAAATCCTGGCCCAGAACCGGCATGGGGAACAGCCCCAGGTATGTGCCTCAGCTCCTGCCCATCACAGGGAAGGTGTGAGCTCCTGCTACGTCCAGCAGCACAGCTGTGTGCTCAGATTTGTGATTCGTGTGGCCTGCACAGACCTCCAATTTACAAACCATTATGCTTTAGCAGGCCAGCTCAACATACAGACACATACTGCTTTTCTTTAAACACAGGAAGCTTGAAACACAAACACAGCCCTCAGCTGAACTGAAGCCACCTGCAGCAGCCAGAGGACCTGCTGGGACTCAGAGAGAAGCATGCAGGAAGCCAGGGCAAGGAATTACCAGCTCTGCAAATGCAGAGACGTGGGGCACGAGGACTACTGCTGATTTGTACTTGCAGCAGCAGCAGCCCTGTACCCCGTGTGCGTGCCAGCTCTGTGCAGGGTCACCACATGAAGCAGAACCCCCTCTTGAGGCAGACACCCCTACTTGAGGAGTGTCTGTGCATCATGTGAGTTATGAAGTTACACCGTAATGATTCTGCAAATCTCTGAGAGATTTTCAACCTTGCGGGGACCCAGTACCTGTGCCAGCCAGATGCAAGCTAGTGCAGACATGCAAATTTATGCTAAAGACATGAATTTGCCTTCCTAAGTGCCTACACCACAGTCTTACTAGTGATAATGACTTTGGCTTTCAGCAAAACCTACCTTCTTAAATGTCCCTATTGCCTTTGAAAATACTGGCCGTGGAATAAGACAGCTGATGCTCACTTTTAGTGAAAAGAGATTTCACTACACATGAACCACATGATCATGAAACAGTATTTCATTATCGTGAGATATTTCATCATCTCCAGGCTTCGATCAACTACGCTTTCAGATGAGTTTCTCATAATCCTATATTTATGTACCAGAAGATGAAGGCCATATGGGAATTGCTCTTTGGGAATTCGGACACAAGCACAAGTAAACACAGTCCCAAGAGTTCCCAAACTACTGGAATCCATGGGAAATTTACAGTCAGGTCATCCGAAGCAGCATCAAACCTACACAATGACATCTTGACTCCACTGCTATCAGGAGGAATTTTGCCAGTACCTTCCAAAGAAAAAAGGATTTCACACAGCTTCTGCTATTTCCCTGTCGGCTGAGAACCCTGATACTCACCAGCCCATCACAGGTACTGAGCGCAGCCAGGCCTCCCTTCAGCGTCCGGCTCCGGACCTCCCCGATCATGTGGCAGGAGTTATACGTGTGGGACTGGATCTTGGCACCGGCGATTCCCCCGTACCGCCTCTCACTGACAAACCCAGGGGTGAGGAGGTTGACGTTAAGGCTCAGGTTGAATTTCAGCGGTTGTCCTTTGTAATGCAGTTCATAGAAAGCAAGAAACTTGTTCTTGGAGGAAAGAGACCTTCTGTGAAGGGCTCGGTGGGACAAGTCGTAGGACAGAAAGGATCCGCTCTCATCAACCTTGACTGGATGAACGATGTCGCTGCTGGAGGACCACAGAGCAGGCTCTGCAAAAAGAGGGTTCCTGTGGTTAGCTTTACAGTCAATCTTTCCTCCTACTGCTTGAGCTGGCTCCCAAGACAGCTCACTGGGGTCAGTTACCCAGATGTGTGCTGGATCTGGTAGCTGTGCCTACTGCCAGTTCCCAGTACCTGCAAAGTACGTGCATTGTCTGGGCTGCTTCACCTCACCTCTGCCCTCTGGCAGCGCATCCTCACCTTCTCCCACGGGCTACTGCTTATAGCTGATCCCACAAATATTAGTCACGGTGCTCTGCTCTGACCAAGGACCATCACAGCACAGCTGGGAGCCAGTCCCAGTTTCCATGCACACATTCCCACTGTCTAATTACAGTCATTGCAGCAAAGTAAATAAATAAATAAATAAATAATCTGAAACGGTGCCTGGAAACCGTGCTGGAGATTTCTGGTGGTAAAGCACCTCCCCGGCCTCAGAGGGTCGCAACGCTCCTCCAGCCAGCCGCTGCCGCGCTCCGGTCCGTGAGCATCGAGAGAGCCTGCGGTGAGCCGGGGAACCCGGGCAGCCCCGGGGCCAGCTCTCCGGCCGCAGCTCCGCACCCGCGGCCATCCCCGCACGCATCCCCGCACGCATCCCCGCGCTCACCTGGCTGCTCGGCGCCGCCGCTCCGCTGCACGCCCGCGGCCAGCGCGGCGGCGAGGAGCAGGAGCCGTCCCGGGGCCGACATGGGTGCGGGCAGGGCCGGGCCGGGCCGGGCACTGAGCGTCTCCCGGCCCGCGGGGCCGCCCCGCCGCCGCCGCCGCTCTCCCGGCCCGGCCCCGCCGCTGCCCCGCGGCTGCCGGCACAGCTCGGCAGTGACCCCGCGCGGCCGCCGTATGCGGGGACACTTCGTTCAACACGGGCAACCCGCTTCTTCGAGGAGTGGAAAGCAATAGCGTTCGGTGGTGAGCTTCAGATCTCGGAGGAAAAAACGCAGATTTGCTCTAAATCATCTCTTCCTACCGGGAAGGTGCGTGGTTTTGGCTCCTCTGTGAAACCGCTGCCTCCCTTCAGTTTCACAGCACATCTGCACAAACGCCAATGAAAGACACTTCGTTAATGCTTTATTTCAGCTGCCATTTTCCCCAGTAGAAAAACGAGGCCGGAGTCTTTCCCTTTTTACATCTCTGTATTTTCCGATTTTTTTTTTTGTTTTGTTTTGTTTTTTTTCATGATAAAAAGAATGGGAAATACAACACGTGGATCATTTTGTTTTATTTAAATAACTCCTTGGCAGAGCACAAAGGCTGCAGGAAATTATAGTCCCTTCCTCACTAAATACAGGACTTGCTAACGGAGTATGTTATATCACTTCCCTTGCCTGTTCCCTGTGCCTGTCAGGACCTCATCACCTAGCTCTATCTATTTAAGCCAGAAGGCTAAAATGTTTAAAGAACAGCAAAACCAAGTGTTTGGTTTCAGATAAGTAGGATCGGAAAGATTACTTGTGAGTGAGGTTTAATGGGTACATAACCAGCTTTGGTTACGTGGAGCTCTCTGACATTTTTTTAAATGAAGCAATTCCTGCTCAGAACTCTGCATTTCTATGCCAAATTCAACAGTAAAACACCACAAAAATATTTCATATAAAATATTTTATACAGGACAAAACCCAGGTCAGTGTCTGACACTTTGGGCCTGCTGGATGCTGCCTCACTGCTTTGCTCTCATGTGGCAATCTGGGCACACACAGTACAGTGGATGTACCACTAAGTTCATGTCTGACTTGCCAAAATTTGCATCTTCTGCAAGCGACAAAGAAGAATGCAATTAAATTTTAAAGCATCCCATCATTTTAAAAACAATTGCTCTTGAATGGCCCTGGGCAAATTCCAGTAAGGCAGTACTCTCACCCAGTGACTGCTGTGCAACTGATGCAGTGTTTACAGCAGTTCTGCCAAAGGGAAAGAAGAGAGCGAGGCCGCTTCTGCCTCTTGATACGGATACGCAGAGCAGGGCATTGACCCACAGCACTTACACTGCTGTGCTGGAGAGGATCCTGCCTCTGCCCAGGCTGGGCTGTTCTCAGCTCCTCTGCATCCCGGGGCGGTGCTGCCCCAGTGCCGTGCTTTGCCGTGCTGGCTGCTGGCGGGAAGCCACAGAAATGGCGTGGGCTGATATCAGAGCCTGCAGTACAAAGAAATGCTGTGTTATCTATACAGCGGGTCCTCCTGCAATGCATTTCTAAAGCTCTCCCAACATCCACGTTCTAAACTGCATGCAGGAAGTCCACGGAGAAACTCCAAATGCTTTCTTATATCTTCAGAAAACGTGGCAGTTTGGAGGATGCCCTGTATTCCCAGACTACACTGAAAACCCTGTCGCTTCCTAGATGTTTTCACCTTCTGTTGGCCTGAGTAGGATTTTTTTTCTTTTTCTGAAGTGATGTTAAAACATGAAAACAGAGATGCGGCAGGATAGCCACAAGCAATATTTTTACAGAACAACACCGATGAGCATTCGGCTGCATCCATCACAAAGCTGCTCCACCGTGCGGTGCCTGCCAGCCCCACCAACGGCACAAAGCCCACGGAAATCCGGGCAGGCCAAGCCGCGAGCAGCCGCAGCCACCACAGCAGCCCGGCTCTGTGAGCGCTGCCCCGCCCCGCGCGAGGCTGCGCTGAAGTGCGAAGGCTCCACAGAGCGAGCTGCGATGGGCACTTTATATACCACCGCCCGCTCCAATGAGCCCCGGAAGGGCTGCGGACTGCCCCGGTCCGCTGTGACCGGGCTGCGGGCCGGTAAGGCTCGGTAAGAGACGGTTAGTCCCGGTAAGAGCCGGTAAGGCCCAGCAAACCCCTCCAGACTCGAGCGTCCCGCTTCGCGCCCTTGTGGCGCGAGGCGCTGTGAGGAACGTGCTGCGCGCCAAGCAACCGCATTGCGCCCCCTGGCGGCGCGGAGGAGCCGCAGGGCGGCAGGAACTGACACCGCAGTTCAGAAAGCAGGTCTTGTCAAATTTCACCTAGGAAACTGAGGAAAAGAAAAGAAGAAAGAAAACTTTAAACTGTTTTTGTTGATTTCCAAATCAGCATTGCTCATCAGCACCTGGAACAAGCATCTCCATTAAAGATCTCTTTCAATTTTTTATTCTTTGCATTTTAGTGAGGTGGCTAGCCTACCGCTGCAGTGTTATAAATTAAGGAGCAGAAATGGTCACTGAAAGAAATCCTTAAGGATCCCTGAGATTTCCAAGAACGTATCCTGGTAAAAAAAGAGGTAAGATCGACTATTCATTAGGGTGTCTTGGGAAGTCTATTTTCTATTTGAAAATACAATGTAATAATAATAATTAAAAAAAACCCTAGACTTGACTGTGTTCTTACTGACACTGATTTACATAGTTTTGAGACATTCTTTTTCTAGGAAATGTATTATGTGAAATTTCTCAGAGTCAGGATTCCCTAGGTGTGTGATGTAAAAGTGCTGTGAGTGGAATAGAAACCAAGGCCACAATCAGGAGCCCGGCTAGCTCAGTCGGTAGAGCATGGGACTCTTAATCCCAGGGTCGTGGGTTCGAGCCCCACGTTGGGCGCGCAACTTTTCTTTCGATTTTAAATTTTTGTCACGTGCTCCTCAGTCGCTCTCAGATCCTCACCGCCAAAGAACGAAACCGAATCGACGCAGCACCGCAGCCGCAGCGCCGAGCTCTCCCGACGCGGCCGCCCCGCCCCGCACTACCGATCCCAGCATGCCGCGGGGGCGGCGCAGTGCGATGCACATGCGCGGTGCGGCGGGGGTTGGGGCCGGCCGTGCAGAATGCGGCGGAGGTGGTGAGGCCCCCGCGGGGAGGGGGCGGGAGGAGGGCGAGGCACTTATAAATGGCGCCCAAGCAGGACCCCAAGCCCAAATTCCAGGAGGGTGAGTGCGGGTGGGGGTCGGCGGGCCGGGCGCGGCGGTGGGGGTCGCGGGTGAGCGCCGAGGGAGCGGCGGCCGTGTGGGAGCGGAGCGGGCGGCGGGCGGGAGGCCGTGACGCCGTGACGGGCACGGGGCCTGCGAGCCGCACGGCTGCGCCGAGCCCGAGGGCTGAGAGCGGTTCTGCGGCGGTGGGCGGGCCGAGGAGAAACAAAGGAAACGGTTTTGAGGGAGTCCTGCTGAAAAAGGACAGCTGCCGTGCTCACGGACGAGGGCCCGATGTCCCCTTGAAGTCTGATGTTCCCTTGGGGCCCTGCGGCGGCACGGCGCCGTTTGGGTCTCAGCTTTCGCCACTCCGCCGCAGCGGAGGCAGCGTGTGGGGAAAAAATGGATTCCTCTCTTCCTATTCCTCGGCTTTCCTGCCCGTAAGACCTGGGCGTTCCCTTCTCCCCCGATATCCTACGTATGCTCGTTTTCCGGCAGGTGTTAAAGCCGTTGACATCTCTTAAGTCTGTTAGGGTTTGTATCTGCTCGGCTCGATGCTCCTCTGCCCGTGCTGTGGAGCTGGGCTGGGGTTCCTCGCACAGAAGGAGGCTCGGGGCTCTGCACTGGTACAGCTGGTGGAATCCATACCTGCATGAGAGCAGCGGAGACGTTAGGGTAAATGGTAGGATTCTGCCGCTTAGGAGGCTTATTTTGTGTATGTCGTGGTTTTAAAATGATTGATGCTAATACTGGCAAATGAAGGTTTGTTCCCCTTTTCTCTGCCTGGTCCTCACTGTGGCTTCTGTCTTGAGCAGCTGGCTTTGCAGAGGAGTGCCTGGCAGCAGTGACTGGATGGCAGCTGATGTCAGAGCATGTTCTGCTGTTCTGAGTGTCCATAGCAGTGTTACCAACCTGCAGAGTTAATCAGGATTTAATGTGTGTTTCACGTTGTAGTGAGTTAATGCAAAATGTAGTGAACTGGAAGTTGAGTAGAATTCCGAGCTGACATATTCATAGCTGTAGGAGTCCAAGCAGCATAAATTCAGTACAGAAATTAAAATATGAGCTTTCTTACCTAAATATAAATGCTTGTGAGCTCAGCACTAGCATTTAATTGGAGAAGTGTCCTATGAATGAAGCTTCCTGAAGTGCTGAAACTGAAGCGTTTTATTATGGCAATCACAGCGTTGCAAATAAAATTATGTGTAACTTGAAATCCTGTTGTTGAATAGTGTTGGGTGGGGTTGGAAACTGTTTTGTAACAGTTACAGGCACTTCCTGTAAAGGAATGGGTGAGAAGGAGACAGGATTTCTGTGAATACAGTTGAAAGCCTGGAACACCCAGTTGTCCTACTGGCAATATGGGGTATCCCTTAAAGTGAAGGAACTGTCATTTTTTTCATGTAGGCTTCAGAAATGAGATCAGATCTGGTCAAGTGTGAATTAATGGTTCTTTGGTGTTCTTGCGTCTTCTCACAGACAAGAGAAAATGGAGAATATTGAATCTTTCTCAGCTGTCAAGTTCAATCTTTGACTTGCATAGAGCAGGTTTGTTCCCTGATGATGGTGATGAGATATCTCTGCTCCCACATCTGTTCTCAAGATGACTTGTTAGCCTTCCACTTTGACATCAAAGGCAAGTCATGTGTCATGTCCTTCACACACAACTTGAGAACTTATTGTTTCTATAAATACTCTGCATGCAAAACAATTGTAGGAGGGGGCAGCTGAACTGAGACTTCCCCAAGCTGTTCCTCACAGTCTTTGATGCCAGAAGACTTGCTGGTCCAAAGCCTGTTTTGTGTTTGAGCAGGGTGTGCTGGCCTGGTGCCGGCATGGGAGCTGTTAGTG